CCTGTGGTTGAGAAATATTGCGAGAGATTTAGGCATACATGTGGAAGAACCAATTGTAGTGTACGAAGATAATCAGTCCTGTATTCATACTTTGTGCAAGTGGGAACACCAACGTCTGAAACACATTGACGTGAAGTACAACTTTTTGAGAGATTTGTACCAGAACAAAACCATTGATGTTCGATACATCCCATCCGAAGATCAGAAGGCCGACATCCTTACTAAGGCGCTGGGAACGAATCAATTTAGTAAACTTTGTACAAAAATAGGTGTTAGGCCGCGGTAAACGCAATTACGTTTCTTTTTGTTTGTCTTAATTTTAAGGTTAACTGTTAACGATAAAATGACATGTAAATATTATTTAAGGTTATGAAAAATCAAATTGAGGGAGGGTGTTGACAGGTGCATGTTTGGCGCCACAATTTGAATTTCTGTATTTGGGAACTTTTAAGTAACTGGTGTAAGGATGCCCTGTGATCGGCACCAATGAAATTACTTCCCTCGCAGATATACGTTCCGTCACAGAAGAAGATGTAACGGGTGAACGGCTAAAATCTGTTTCTTACTAATATATTGTTTTACAATTCACTGCCTCTGATCATTATCAACTTGCTTCGCAAATGTTTAACTTAACACGGCGTTTTAACTGTGAAGGGGTTTTTTAAATGCATATGGTCTGCATAAAATTCGACAAACACATTTCGCCAATCATTTTCATTTAAGTATTCCATTACCACATTATTATCAGCAAAGAGCGGATTTCTGTCCGGCCTGGCAAGGCCAAACTCGGTACGGCTCGTGCGGGATGGAAATTCAGTGCAGGTACAGGCTGCACTTCGTTTATTTTAAAATAGAATACCGGTGCTTCGTTGTACTTTGCTGTTAATTCCCGTTCTCCTTTACTTAGCTGTTTTAGGAATTAAGTTTTCATTCATTGTATTTATAGGATAAGTGAAGATTAAATGCACTGATCATCACCCGCTACTGATTAGCAGCGATTTACGCGTCCCTACCTATAATCGTGACGTAGACAGAAATCCGCTGTCTAATTATCAGACAAAATATTAAAACTTCTAGGTGGAATTAGCGATTACAATTTTTGAAAAAAAGAAATGTGGTGTCGTGGGACACCAGGTAGGAACGAAGTTCCTTCGGTTAATGTAGAATCGACACAATTTGCAAAAAAAAACGTGCTCAATTTTATGTAGGTTTTCTTGATTTTTCTCTTAAATTTTGCTGATTAGTTTTTATTTAAGTACAGGAAAATATTTAGGAAATTCAGTATTTTAGGAAATAATAAATTACGTAAAATAGGTAGAATTATCAAAATATATATATATTTAAATGTTTGGAATTGAAGGGAGAATTTGTTTTAATTATTTAAAAAAATAATCAATAAACTTTTTAAATATTGTCACTAGTTTAGAGGATATCTTTGCTTTATATCGTAACTTTCTTGCTTATTTTCATTTTTTTAGCTTTTTCGCGTTCCCTATACGCTTTTTGATACTCTGCTTTGCCATTGTTACTATATTTATTATTGTTTTGACGATTTGAAATTGTATGAAAATAAACGTGGCTACTCACGAGTAAAATGTATCTATAATGTGCGTATTCGCCACGTGCTTGTCCATGAATTCATGAGTATATACTATGCATTGGCGGGGTGGAGTGGTAATAGAGAGAGAAGGGATGAGAGAACGAAAAGTGTTTAGGACATTTTTTATATTTTGTCGGTGCGGTCTTCACGTGTTGGCGGTGTCTTTGTAAGGCAGCTGCACGTGTGCGGACCTTCAACCTTGTGTGGCGGCACAATAACACTAGAATTTTCTAAACTCTTTCTTTACCTACTACCACCTATTTGAAACCGAGCCTACCTGTCGACCATTCAAACACCCTTCGATCTTCTTCTCCCTGGCACTCTCAAACAGTAAAAGGAACTAAATAAAATCTGAAAACCGTGACCGTCGCTTTTTCTAAAAATCGAAACATTAAAAAAAAACGGAAAATCGAAAAATAAAAAAAATGGAAAATCAGAGATTTAAAAATTCCAAAAATTGAAAAATTGAGATAGAAGAACTGAAAAGTCGAGAAATTGAAAAACCTAATATTTTAAAAACTGAAAACTAAAAGTTTAAAAAACGAAAAATTTAAAATTCAAACAGTAAAAAGTCGAAAAACTGAAAAATCACAAAATTGAACAAAATATTCAAAAATTAGGAAGTTAAAGAATTGAAAAATTGAGAAATCAAAAATTCAAAAAGCAAAGTCGAAAAAAGTAGATTAATTGAGGAATCGGAAATCTGAAAATTCTGAAACGTCAAAATTTGAAAAATTAAAAAATATTGAAGAACTGAAAAATCGAAAAGCCTAAAATTTAAAACATTGAAAAATTAAAATATCGTAAAATTGAAAAATGGAGAAATCTAAAAATCAAAAAATAAAAAAAAAAATAAAAATTGAAAAATCTAAAATATAAAAATCGAAAAACTAAAAAATCAACACATCGAGAAATCAAAACTCGAAAACTAAAAAAAATTGGAAAACTGAAAAATCCAATAATATAAAAATCTAAACACAGAAAAACCGAAAAATCGAAAAGTAAAAATCAAAAACCGACAAATCGAAACATCGAAAAATTCAAAAACTGAGACATCGAGAAATCGAAAAATCAAAAGATGAGAAATCGAGGAGTCGAAAAGTCGACAAGTCGAAAAATCGAAAAATTGAGAAACCGAAATAGGCCAAAATCGACAAATCGAAAAGTTAAAAATGGAAAAATTGATAATTCAGGATCTCAAAAATTGAAAAATCGAAAATTTAAAAATTGGGAAAATAAAAAAATTAAAATATAGAACAACTGAGAACTGGAGAAATCGAAAAATCTAGGATTTTAAAAATGAAAAATTACAATATGGAGAAGTTGAAAAATTGAGAAATCGAAATATAAAACGGTCGAAAAACTGAAAAATAATAAAAATATCATAATAACTATATCTACTATAATGGCCGTTCATTTTTTTATTTAAATAAAGGATGAATTTAAACGCATACACCAGGCATCCTCCAAAAATTGGGATTTACTGGCATGTTGTCAACATGTGCTTATCATAACAATAATAATTAAAGAAAAGCTGAAATTTGGTTAAAATTGGACAAAAACCTTTCACCAGTCCACCGTTCATTTGGGGATGGGCTATTTTGCTTTAACGTAATCGCACTGGCCACAAGTCTGATGAGTTGGTGTTCGTCCAGACTACTGTTAACGTAGTTCACAAGAAAAAAGGAGGGAGAGCCACTATCCACTGTTACGTTTGTGGATGAATTGAAGTGAGGGGTAAGACGGAGCATTAGCCCCGCACTTGTCCATAAGGTTGCCTCTCTTTTCACTCTATACTCACTGGTATGAGTCTAACAACCATATGCCAACTTTACTGAAATTCACCACATCTCAGTATATATAAAAGTTTTATTTTAAAGCATTATGAACTAACGAGCGATTAAATAAAAAACACCTGTACTAGTTACTTATCGATGTTCAAACGAGGATTTCAATGTTAATGTTTTACTAGGATTAATAATTTTCCACATTGCCTTGATTGCTTGAGTGAACAATCACTCCACCACAACTTTCTCTTATGACTTTTTCTAGTCTGAGGTACAAGGCTCTATTATTATTACACTGCTCCCAGTTCCCGGTGTTATGATTTTGTTTTGGTGTAGCTGATGCAATAAATCTCTTATTATGAATATTCCTTAACTCATTATTGAACAAGTTTATATTGGGTTTTGATGTTTTTGAAAATATTTTATTCCTGAGTGGAAAGCAATTTTGTATTTACTCAAAAAAACTTCAAATTTTGAAACTTTTCGTTCTACAACATACTAATTGATGTACATTACTTATTATTATTTATTATTATTATGATTATGAACAATGGATTAGTATCTATCATTTTCTAAATTTGTAACGATATTATCTCAATAGGTTGTTTCGCATGTATCGATAAAATAACGTGGTTCGCTTTATTTCAAATGACACACAAAAATTAGCTATAAGTTTGGTCTGGGTTCTATTAATACTTACTAGAATTGACGTTAAAATCGTAAGATTAAACCTCACGTGTCAAAATTCTAGCAAGTCAAATTCAATTTCGAATAAGTTTAATTTTAAAATTCGGAATTTTTTATTTCTTTATTATTTTTTTGTAATACACTTCACAAGTCACACCGAAATGTATATACATATGATAAGCCCAAAGTTTTCTGCTTTAATATTTTAACAACTGCATCACGTATCGATAAACAATAAACATCTACACAGTATGTCTTATCACTCTGTGATATCAAAGTTCTATCACGTCCAACTACAAGAAATTCTAATTTATGCAAATTTATCAGCATGATAATTATTCCTGTTTAAAGAATGCGGTCAAAGTCAGCCTCTACTTTGATGTTATTGTACTCTTAACAGAAGCATTTTTAACAACTTGTAAAAAACACGATATCATGTGCAAACGACATTGAAAAGTGGAATGGTGACATTTTTGGTGCCACTTTTGCATGCTTTTTATCTAATTAGGTTCGTCTGGCACGTGAATATCGCCATACAGAATAATCAAATTCCCTCAATATTTTTTGTTAAGTTATATTGTTTTAAATTAAGTTTAAAAACGGAAAAGAGTAATTTTGCAAACCTACGAAAGAACTGACACTTTAAAACAGTCCATACTTTTTGAACTTATTTTTGCAAACTCGACGTGACGTTTAATTGACACAAACTTATTTACTTATCTACTTTAATCTATTTAATTATACCAAAATACTGCAAATTAATTATACAATTTCAATTGATCCAAACACGTTTTTTCCCCTTTTTATTCTTGAAGATGCAAATATAAAAATCTAAGTTATTGGCTTTGACCTTGAATGAGACATCCACCAGAATTAAAGTCACGTCTTCTCCAAATTTTAACATTTCATCTTACTTATATACATACCTTCCACAACTGTGCTAAATCTTGGTTCATTTCACTAGAATCTATGACTGTACTCATCACTAAGAATTTGTCTCTTGACAGGCCACCTAGCTGGAATCCAGGTAAGAGAGTCACATGTACCGTTGCTCGTGCTCCAGGTGTTAAGCTACCGACGCTAGGTCTGACGCGGAATTTTTCAGGGGATGTGGTTTTTAGCTAAAATTGTGCATCAATTTAAATGAATCCACACCCAACATGCACATACCTTGAAAGACAAGATGATGGAACTGTCGGTATTTTGTAGTTCCAGGGTACTGACCAGCTCTCCTCCCTCTTTGACAAAGTTGATGATGCTGGATGGTTGCACGCTAAGGGCACTTCCATCTGAAACCATATTTGATCAACTGTTTGGTGACCTTCCAATACCAACACAATTTAGGCGCGTTCGATACGGCCTTTTAAATATAGAAAAATAGGGGGTTCTAAACATACCGTGATCTTTGTCTCCACTCCCTTCTGGTGACTCTGACATCGAAGACCCATCAGCAAAATGAACCTGTCATTACATTTTATTGATTAACATTTTGTTAGCCCACTTTACCAATGCTTGCGCATATGTACGGGGAGCGCGCAATAAATTTTGAAACGAGGGAGGAGGAAATGCAATTAATTCAAATTTTACCACTTGCCTTATTTCAGCAACGTGCATACAATGAAGCTGGAAATCCGATAGAGACAACCTTCACGTTTTTATTCGTTTGGAGGTCATACTCGAATTTACAAACAATATTACGAAAATTTTAGATTAAAGTTCACAAGATTTGTGTTAACTCAGCGAAAATGGAATTATCTAGTTTACAAACACAATGAAAAGAAAAACATATTTTTTTTAATTTACTTGAATTTTTAATTAATTTTTATATTGCTCCTTTTATGAATTTGTAGTATTATAAATCTTGTTGGTATAACATTTTTATTTATTTTTATGTATTGGACGATGTTATAAAACAGTTGGAAATTTATTTTCCAAAGCTTGCTTGAATAAGTAATATAAAATTAAACGAAATTTATTTTAAAGTATAGTTAACATGATTCATATCATTTTTAAGTATATTAAAAGTGTATAGGTGACAATTTTTTTTTGTTATTACCACTATAATAGCAAGTGACTAAGTTTGAAAGTTGATGGTTTGCTGGTAGCATCTTTTAAATGTAAAAAATATATACATTTATATACAATATAAGGGTGTTTAAAGTGAATACAATGCTAAAAATTAAAAACCAGTGTCAAAAATACAATAAAAGCTAACCTCAAACCTCATTTAGATTTTTGTAATGTTATTACAGGCATTTACACTGCTGGCGGTTTTTTAATAATAAGAAAAATAATAATTGTAATTTTTCTAACACGATAAATAGAGACAATGGAGCGTTCTGAATCCACTCCAAGTACTATTCTAATTTAGGCTATTACTCAGTGGACAATATTAATGATATGAACCTTTCTTTTATCACACGAATTATTTTTGGCATGTTTTTCCAATCACTTAAATCGGTAAACTCATCTTTTATAACAAATTGGAAACATAAATAATTCCTCAACTTTATCTAAAAGTACACATCGCCTGTGAACTAATTATAAACAACATTGACATTTCTTGGCATTTATTCACCGCAAAGGTCAAAATAAGTTCAGCACATGTGCACACCGAGAAAATAAATTGATCACTCCAGAGTAATAAAAAAAGCATTTACTTAATGCAGGTGGACACGAGAAGGGTTATCAATCAATACAATAATACCTCATAAAGTCAGTAACAGCACAAGAAATTGGGAGCAAAATCAATACTAAAACAATATGGATTTCCAAATTAAATTGAACGAAAGCTTCCGATTCGGTGTCTTACCTTTCTATTTGTGGAAATGGGCGTGCTTGTATTTACAGACATAGTTTCTTGGGGCTCAGGAAGGAAACTGAACGTGTAATCGTTTTGTCCTCCCCAACAAGTTAAGGCCTGATCCAGAGGGACATACTCTTTGATGTCCTTCTTTCCTACGAATTTAATTTTTTGGACCGCTTTTTCTGGTAACCATGATTTTATAATCTTAAAGGCAGCTGAAAATAGAATTTTGTGAGAAAATGTATAAATAAATGCGATATCTATGAACTATAATTTATTTATCGCGATTTTTACAACTATTACCTTCTTATCCAACTGAAACGTCAAATTGAGAAAAAGCTAAGCAGAATTCGTCATCCCTTCCAAAACGCCGATGACGTCATCTTAAATAAATTTCACTTGAAATGTATAACGTGACTAGTTACTCTATCTGTGATTAATAATCCAATCGCATGTTTAAATGTATGTATGTATAACCAAATTTTATAATTTATTCTAGCAAATTACATAATGGCCTTGGTTTAAATTTTGGTGAGGCATTGATAGTGATGTAATTAATCAAAATGTATTATTTATCTCCTCCAAAAATCAACCACAGTATTTCCAGTCCTATCTTTTGGAAATGCTTCGAATTATTTCAAAAAATTATATACGGATTACTTATTTAATAAATAATCTCAGCAGCAGTTTATCTAATATCCGTAAAACCCTGATAAGGGAGTAACGATAGGTTTACTGTTATTGAAAAAATACACCTTAATTATATACATTTGTTGTGCTTCCAAAGCACGGGAAATTAGGTGTTAAAGACCTCCTAATTTTTTTACCATGTACCAAACATAACTTTGACAGCACAAAAAATTGTAGACTGAAATTTGACAAAATCATTCAAACAATGGCTTTATTTTATTACACGAGTTCTATTCTAGAAACCACTTTGGATTTTTGTTTATTGATGACATGTACACAATATACTACATACACATAATCTATTTTTAATTGATATTACGTAGATTTACAATCTTTCTTTTTTTTTGTTGCATTTATCACGAACATCAGAACAACTTTATGTGAACTACCAGATTGCCCTTTAGTCTTTGTACTTTATGTTTACTATTTATAATACGATACGAAGTAGTAATAACAGTAGTGGCAGTAGTGTAGTTAATCAGTCAATGTAGTCTTATTCAAGACTTAGTAAAATTACCAATTATAAAACTATAATAAAGCGCAAGCCGTTATTGAGAATCTGCAAATGCACTAAACCATTGTAAATAAGTAAAATTCGTTTTAACGATTGTGTAGATTGTAAACAATATAATATTCTAAATTTATTATTCGACAAATCTAATCGAAAACACCAACTGCATACTAATTCATCACAATAGATCAAAACGCTCACCCGTTACGCCCTCACACTACCGAAGATGATTCACCAATTCACAATTAACACCGCAATTAACAGAACAATGCAACACCGACATAGCCCGTACTATCACCACCCAACGAAAAATTACCACTCATTCCTTCGCCAACGTCACAAATCAATCGGTTGCAGTTCAACTTCTCGTTATTCACCAACCAAATGACTAATCCTGTTTTGACACAGTAATAATTAAATCAGATAACATGCACGAACAATTTCAATCGCTTTAACGCATCCTATTTTACTTCACCGGCAACACACCCGCCACAGAAGTTTCAACATGCAGGCCGTTGCACGACTAAATCTTTTTCGTGTTTACAATTTGATTCGTTTTACTTTCCGAGCGTAAGCTAAGAAAGCATCGGGCGACTGGCTATTTTCATGTTTTCTCGTCTTTTCATGACCTTTATAGCACGAAAATGGGTTTCCTGTCAAGTTTATTCATGGTAACAGCATCCACCTCATTTCCGATATTCACGAAGAACGCGCACAGTTTCCAAGTCGATAAGTTGAAGGAAATAATCGTAAACATCCAATGGGAAACACAATTCGGTATCTCTACAATACTTCAAACAAGTTCATTTTCGTACAAGTTGATTCTACAACTTTTTGCTTCTCGAGAAAATTCCAATTTTCATTTGTATCTTGAGAATACGTTGACTATGGTAAAACGCTAACCACCGCACCCCAAAATGTTTCATGGTAAACACTATTTAAATTTTATAAAATAATTAACTCCTGTACTGGTGGTTTATGATCCCTAGGCATCCAGGTTTAAGCAGACAAATTCAAATTGTAATTAGCTCATCTGGTGCAGCGTCCTACTACTTAATAACGGCAAGGTCGCGGGTTCGATTCCCTTATGAACCACTTCTTTTTCTTACATCGTGATTGGTATTACTTAATTTTTATAAGGGTTGTCATAATCAACATTTTTGCAAGGACACGTATATCAGTTTGAATAGATGTATTCTAATACTAAAAATAAAAGTACTGTATTCCTAAATTTTCGGGAAAATGAATTGGGTCGTCTTGGATATTGATTTATAACCAATAAAATAACGAAACAGTTTACTCACGTATGCCGCGTGTATTAACAGAGGCGACTCAAAATCATTTATGTATAAGCATTCTTAATTTAAGACAACAACCGGTACACGTGAGAGTCAAACAGAGAAACTGCAAACAATACCGATGGCCACCCAGACTTTTTTATTGCTTTGACTTCCGCTTATTACATAAAACATTGGATTTTATTTTAATTTTTGATGGTGTAATTCACAATTGGTTGATTATAGCTTGTCTATACCATATTCACGGAACCTAGTCAGCGCAATAAAACAAATGCACGTCTGTAATGTTTAAATAAATATAAATAAGCGTGCTACGCCTATGCTTCAAACGAGTTTTTACTTTACAAAATTTTGTGTCTGTCAAATTGGGTTGGTGCAATGCAATACTAATAATAACAGTGTTGTATCTTCAAATTTTCGGGAAAATATAGTGAACTATTCCTGATTTAATCAATAAAATAAATTCACTCATTCATTAATTTTTTTGAGCGACCTGTTAAGCAAATCTAAAAAATATGAATGGAATGATATATCACAAGTACAGACTCATCATATTTTGTACATTTTAGATGGACATATTTAGCAAAATTTTGGGGTGACGTCATTAATTTTTTAGGGGGGATGAGAAAATACATTTTGATTAAAAATTTACCATGCTTATGATAACTGTAAAACATCTCCAAGATTTCAGAGTATTCGGTTTTGCAGTTCCTGATTAAATCAATAAAATTAATTCACCCATTCATTAATTTTTTTGAGTCACCCTGTATATGCAAATCCAAAAAATATGAATGGAATGATACTGAGAATGACCTTTAGACCAATTTTTAATGAAAAGGCGGATATATTAAAATCAAAGTACTACAAAGTCCTCAAAAATTTACGTTAACCATTCTTCGGTAAATAAATAAAATTCATTAATTCATTCATTACTATAAAAAAACAAAATATAAAAATAATAAAATATACACCTACAGCGCAAATAAAATTGTAAAATAAAATCTCCAAGTACAATACTTCGTGAGTGTGATCGATAACTTTGGAGAAAACATAAAAATAGCCACTTTTACGTGTTGTCGACGTTTCATGATCCATAGAGTACGAAAAAATGGACCCCGTTTCCGTCCGTCTGTCTGTCTGTCTAGCTGCCGTCTGTCCGGTTTTTCATTAGATAGACAATTTCTCAAACTACTGAACCGAGTGTTATTAAATTTAATGTGTATTACGAATCTCGTGTAGATGGTAAAACGCTAACCACAATTTGACTACTCATCACTACCACCAATACGATGACATCATCTCCAAAATTTACATTTTACAATTTTATTAAAATTAAATAATATAAACAATAATATAATTAAATTATTAAAAAAAAATCAAAATTGTATAACAATATTTTACAGTTTAACTTTGAAATTGCAAAACCAAATGCTCTGAAATCAAGCATGATTCACTCCTTAATCAAAATTTGTCCGTTATCTTACAATCTTGCCAAATTTAAGTGTTTTTGGAAAACAAAAACTGAGTCTGGTTAATTAATTAAGCAGTCCTCTCATCCGCGTTGAGGAGACAAAATTGGTTATCTGCTTTAAATATATTTCATATTGTTCACACTTGTGCGGGCCGCGCCCTCTAGGAGTCTGCGCCCCCGCGGCGTAGGGGCTGCGGGGATGTTACTCAGGCCACTTGTTTTTATTTAGAGGTCATCACAAAACGAAAATCGCAAAATCAAATTTTATAATTTTTGAAAGAAGCGAGATTTGTCGAAATAAAGACGAGGAAAGCTCTGTCGAAATTGATCTTTGACCAATTTTTTCTAAATATTTATAGAATTAATTTTTGTGATGACGTCATCAATCTCCTAAAACCGGATGAATAAATAAGTGTTAATAATTAAATCAGTGTTAGTATTCTACTAAAAATTTGCTTTGCTAGATGTTCAAGGTAAAAAATAAGGGCAGATTAATAAACGACAAGTAGAAAAGCATATTATTTTATAAAATTAAAAATGATTTTGTAACAAGTGAGGTGATGTCATCAAATGGCTGGTGGGGATGATCAGACAAATTTTGTACTCCAAAAGAACACCTAAATAAAATTTCTAAACGTAACTAGTTTTAGTCCAATAAAATCGATAAAACACGAGACAATGGTAGAAACGGGTGACTCACTTTTTCAAACTCTAGAAGTTACGAAACGTCGATAAAATATTAACAATAGGCCATTCACCGGCTAAGCTTACGCTCGGGAAGTAAAAATTAATAAAAACATGCTTTAGCTGTCGTTTCCTATAACCATGACTGGCTACTCCCATGTTTTCTCGACATTTTGTAACCTCTATAGTACGAAAAAATAGGTCCCCGCTTTCTGCACTTGTGGTTTATACACCTTGACTTGTGTTTATTGTTTTTATAATTTTTATTGTTTAATTCTTCTTGTATTTTATATCCAATAATACGATGTTCGACAAGCGGCTCTCGGAAGTCGATCGCCAGCTTCGCACATGGGTTCGAACTGAATCCTTGGGCATCTCCACTTTTTTATTGATGAAATCAAGAACTTTTTGCCGCACTTTTTCAAAAATGTAAGAATACAGTAGTGTCGTGTTCGACTATAATTAAATAATGGTGTTTATAGAGATTATCACAAAACAAAAATCGCGAAATTTTTCCAAGAAGCGGGATTGGTTGGATTTTTGGAGCGAGCGAAATTCAACCTTCAACCAAATTTTTTTTTACGTCCCGTCCGAATTAAGCACATGCGGACTTAAGCTTATCATCATCGAACAAATGGTGCTTTGGAAAGTAGTCATGCAACATTGGCTGACTACCTCAAACACTACGGCTCTGATAAGCAAACTGATTGGGATCAATGCTCAAATATTGCTATGTTTTCGTATAACATGTACGTTCAAATCCCCCATGAGCTTGTTTTTGGAAATAAACCGGAGTTACCATAATCAATAGTTCAACCACCTTAATTTACATACACCTATGATTCGTGTGTTGGTCCAAATAAATTAAAACTCAGCTAAAGTTCGAAGAAAAATCAAAACAAATTTATGACGAGACGAAACCAACATGATAAAAAAACAAAAGTTTAATTTTCAACCCAAGTGTCACAATCTAACGTTATATCAATAGGTTCAAACTCTAACACGATTTTTTTGTTGTAAGTGCCGCAGGATAATGTAATTTATCGTTTGTGCAAACAATGACTCAACTTCCGATAGTTTTAATGACTGACTTGATAACAATTTTGACAAATTGATGGCAATAGTTTTATTTATAGTATTAGCTGTAGTAATATAATATTTGGGTCTGTCGAATTTTAAACTCTCCAAAAAGATAAATACAAACTTCAGAATCGAATCTGTCTGTAAACAAAATAACGCCATGCATTATCAAACTCATAATAGACTCATTTCATAATTTATTCAAGGCAACAAAAATGTTACTGTCTATTCCATTTTTAATGATTGGTTGTGTGTATTATCAAGTGAACAAATCTTAAGCATAACTTGTAATAGTAATTTAGGAAATGTATTAATACAGTTATTAGATGTTGCAATATATTCATTACATAAGTAGCAATTCATCTATACTACGTCAGAAATACTCACACCATCAAACACCTCGAGTATGAATTTATAATGATATTTAATTAAATGTTAGTGTTACAAATCTGTGAACGCACTTTTATAGTGTTGTAATCTATAATGGGGGAGGAAATGTGTACATAATGCACACAGATACAATCTATTTTTAATTAATACTTTGTACATTTCCAATCATCTCTTTCGTTTGTTGTATTTATCGTAAACTTCAGAATATCATCATGTGAACATCTGTCACATTGCTCCTTAATAATTGTATCTGATAACATTTTTATCTATGTTACCTCATTACACATTGTATACTAGTACATAGTAGCAATATAGTTAATTAATCAGTCCAATCTCATTCAAGATTTAATAAAGTTACCACAGACTCCTGTACCAGCGATCAATAAAATGAACGTAACACCTTAAACGTCATCGACATTTTTCTTATGGAAACCCATTTTTTTATAAAATATCTAACCGGAAGAGGATCAGATACAAAAATAGTAGAAAGTTAAAGACATTTTTTACCGGTGTTTGAAGAAGTCTTTAAGTGAAAGTGAGCAACTGATGCCCGAATTTGGTTCACAAGATGGTGCCCGCCTCATTATGATCTTAATGTGTGGCATTAGAATTGTTCTTGTGGGTAAAACGAATGTGTAAAAAACGACCTCGAGATATATAGTTGGAATTCGAAATGAAGTTCGTTCAGTAACGTTTGAGCTTTATTTTCATTCAAGTTATTTAAGGTCATCATCTGAACACGTAACTTAATTAGATCATACATATTTTTCACAACAAATTTTGGTTGTGAATTAATCACACAAAAAATTTCACTTCTTTTATGAAATACTGTGTGTGTGAAAAATCACGTGACGTGGCCAAGAGCCGTTGGAAAACATCGTTTAACTCGGGCGTCAACTGAAAATTTTCGAAGTTACGCTCGGAAAGCTATAGCGTTTTTATCAGATTTCATTCCTTATTTAATATATTCGAGTCTTTATGGACCGCTACTTAAAAACCTTGCCGAAATGTGACATCAAAAAAAGGTGAATGAGTAGTACACAAGTAATATATTTTGTATAATTATACTTCCACAGTGATAAAATGATATCGTATAACTGACAATGAATGTTCCCACTAAACCTGTGTGCATTGTATTCAGAAAAATGTAACGCAAACTAGTTACGGTGTTTTTTAAATCTGATCATTATTTATTGCTCAAGGTAATCTTACAATATTTATTTCAATTTGCTAAATAGACGCTACGATGTTTACAACCTTCCGTATACATATACATAATATAGACAAATTATGGATAAATCTATTAGTATCCCACGAATTTAAGTTTGTAAAACGCTTGCGGCGAGTTTTCAAATAACATGTGTGACAATGACCTTACAAAGCAAATCTTTTATACAATTTTTATCTATTGAGGAAATTTAACGTCTATAGTTTATAAAATCATCAAAATAAATTTAGTTATTTATACAGCCTTAGTTGGCAGTCATGCAAATTACTGTTGATGTTGGTACACCGAACTAACTAATTTAAAAAGAAATATTTGCTGTCATTCTAAAGATATAGATTTCCTTAGGCAAATACAATATATTTTTTTATTATTTCTGTCATACAGGGTGACTCAGAACACTGCTGCATAATTTTAATGGCGAATTATATGGCAAAAAATTAGTTAAAAGAATTTTTAAATTTGCTATGTTATCAAAACTACTTTTCATCGTTGTTAATTTTATTAGCAAAAAAGTTATTTTTTATTAATAAAATAAATTTTTTAAATGGTGAATGTTAATTTACCATTTAAAAAATGTGCTGCTCGGTAGTTAATTAAACACGAGTTTTTCCTTACAGATTCATAATTAATGCAGTCGAAAAACAAGTTTATTCTACAATAAAATAAATGACATTGAAAATAACGTGCCATGTGACATAGTCATAATTTGTTTATAACGAGAGTGAAAATATAGAATCTATTTAATCCATCTAAATTGTACAAATATATATCAGATGTAGTTAGGTTGGTAATATTCACCAAAACTTTGCAATTTATTTAGTAATTTTAATTAGATTACATTGGTAGCATCACTCCTTACATATCAAAAGTGTGTAGTAGGAGGAATTGGACTAAGGTAAGTACACAGTCCATAAAATCAATTAAATGAAGATATCAATAATTAAGAATAAGTTTCTCCATAGACAAATTAAACTATATCTTATTCAAAACATTTTTTATTACACATTTATGAGATAGTGCTACCATCAAGGATAACGAAATAATTACAAACAGCCTGCGTCAATTATGAGTAAGTATGCGTTACAAACTCTGGTAAAAATCAGGTTTGTATAATTAAGTTAACAATAATAGATAGCTACACGTCGTACTTACATACCGTAATTTTTCAAAAATGGTGAACGTTTAAAACTTGAATCTTCTATAAAATGTTAACATTAAAATATAATATAAGACTCGCATGCGATTATTAACAATCAAACTAAACATTTAAAGTATATTATGTTTGTGTAAATTTCTACCAAGCGTTTATTTTTGTTACTCTTGTTTGTAGTTCCACTTCTTCTAGTATAATAAATTTGTGTGTTTTAGCTCTAAATAAATAAACAAATAAAATAAATAAACTTGGAAGCTTGTTATAGTGATGTACTACAATCCCGATAGTATTTGATTTACGAAGTTTTTCTTCTTTAATCATCATTATTACAAAACTACGATAAAAGTTGTGTAAAATCGCGACGACTAACCAAAATAGATATATAAGTATTTGGGCTGCTCTAATCTCAACGTACTCTTATTTAATGTTATCAACATTCTGCAGCATAATTCGCCCACATAACACCGCATAATTTGCAGATAACGTGTCATCTTTAAAGCTGATGCTGGCCGTATTTAAAGTGATAAAATCATATCTCCCTCTATTTAATACACCTTGCTATAATACTTAAGGTGAAGTTCAGTACAAAAAAAAAACTTTATGGTTGATGTTATTAAGAATAACAACCTCAAAAATATTTATTGCACGTGTCATAAATCTGAACACAGCAAATCTGATAAAACGACAATGACTGAATTGAAAGAGTAAAAATAATAGTTACTTTAATTAAACATTTTTAAGTCATTTAACTAAATAAATTTACAAGTACATTACTGATTATGTAGGTGTTAAAGTTATGGTAATTTGTTACAATTAACCCATAATTTTTTAATGTGATTGTGTGCTATAAAAATCACTCTAGTAGTCGATTTTATAACCACTTGACCTTTAACATTTCTTATCAGTTCATAATTGAAATAGAATATTCACAAAAGCTATTTATGCAGGTAATTAAGAGTAAAAAAGTTGGAAAAAACTACAACTGAATGTTTAACATGCAAAACAATTCTTTCCTTATGAATATCAAAAATCAAGTTTTATTTTCATCATTTAAGTGATAGCCGCAAATATTATTGTAACACTTTCAATTAGTGATGAGTTTTATCTAATCAGCTTCTTGAATTTAATGTGATAAAACCATGATTATTAAAAAAATGTGATAAAATTACTTACCATTTAATATCCACGGCATTTCAAATATAAGAATATAATTAAGGAAATATGGGTAGTATTGTTTAAATAGGCCTATTAAATACTTTGTAAATTCTAAGTCCATGTTTGCTAAACCACAGCCTTCCATGTCAAAGAATAAAGTAATTGGTTTACCTTTGCCTTGCCTTGAAAATTAAACAATTAAACACTTGTCAAAAAAATTACTTATAAAAATACCTTTCTAGTCTTTCAAACCAATATACAACACACCTTCGTAAGTCATCCATGTTGTGGGTGCCTTTAACATATTTTTTACATTTGAACACAAACAGGGTGCACCCATCTTTATCATGTCCAAAGGGGAAAAAACCACCTTGGACAATAATATCCATTTTTACTTGATCAGCCACTTCTACAATTTTCCAGTTAGCAAAAATTTGGTAGTGTTTAGAATAATTACCATTAGCTTGAAAGTCTTTTCTCCATGTAACACACTCCCATAACATATTTAGTGCCTCAGTACTATTATTATCGTGATGTAACAAAAATCTGTGAAGCCAACTATCATCCTTCTTCACTCTTTCCAAGTCCTTGGAGTGGATGACTAAAAGAATATTTTAAATAACTGAATAAATTAAGTTCACCACAATTTTACCATCATTTCCTTTGGTTGCAAGCTGTTGTAAAAAATTACTTCTTAATTCGTTAATTTGTTGGGAATCCATATCAATTTATTTGTAACAAAAAACACCAAATTTCATTTGAGGTGCTACTCGTCATGTACTATTAAATATTTAATTGCACTGGGATGATGTATCACAAAACTAAACACGAAAGTTATTCACAAATATGGTATACTTTTCGGGACTTACCTACATTACAGCTCCTTGAACTTAACTAAAGGAGAGTACTATCAACCAACAAAATAAAAGTGATATATGATGACAAGTGGTGACACTTCTGTGTTGATAAACCAAATAAACCAATAATAGAGAAATGTCATGTGCAGTTGTTCTCAATCAGCCAATTAGAACAATGGGAGTGGTAATTGACCTTTTCATACAAAGATGTCACTAAATTTTTCAAACGAAGTCATGAAATAAAACACCCGAATTAAAAAACAGTTTCGTTAGAAAATCGCATGCTCTGTATTTGATGACAGCATGACAATAAAAACACCTGCTGCTTTCCTTTCTTGAAAATACCCCTTCATGAAGTTATGTTTTGATCACTCCTTGTACAACACCCACATTTCGTTGGTAACTTTTAACACAACGTTAAAATCCCCAGATTTGACGTAACGGGTGCGTAACGGTTGTACATGTTCTGGCGCGGCTTAAAAACCGTCCCGGAATAACCTAAAACTTTTATGTTTATAAAGCGATTTGTTTATAAAAGCTAGCGACGATGACTGAAGGTATGTTTTCTCGTTGTGACCGACGTACAGTTCGTTAATAAACTTTTGTTGTAGCAATAAATAAATCGGAGGATTTGTGGAGTTCCTACAAAGGTCTTCGCAAGATCATCTGGCGAAGCTTAAGCGACGGCTCCGACGAGGTCTACAGTATCGAATTTGAGAACACTTTGCGGAAACACAAACAAAACTTCTTCTCCCTTCTGCAAAATCAGGTAAAACTTACCAAAACATTGAAATCAAAAATTTTACAGTGATTGTTCTTTCAGCCAAAAAATGCCAAAAGTCGTGAAGAACTCAAGAAGGGGATGGTGGACGGCATTGTGATTAAAGGCCTCGGTCATCAAATACTTTCCAAAGAACTATACCAAGAAGCAGTCATTTTGTCAGACATGTATGACATGAATGAATTCGTAGCCCTTGATCTCCTCTGCACGGCTCAAATCCAAATGTCGTATTACCCTGGTTTGCCCCGTGGATTAGTAGCAGTTCTGCTGTATTATGATGGCCGTAAGTCTCTAGTTTCAAGTTTACGCTACTTAATCCAAGCGCGCACTGGGGTTCAATGGAGTCTCAATATAAAGCCTGATCTTGAAAAATTTATCACTAGTTACACTGATCAGTTAATGGAAGGCGGCCTATTTAATCGAATTTTCGAACTACTGCGCACCTTAGACTTAACTAAAGAAATAGAAAAACTTCAAGAGAACCTCGCGTTGGGGGGACCAAGGCACAGGCGGCAGGTTATTGACTTATTCCAAGATATTAGAATGATTCTCGCGGATATCGTTTTCACGTGGGCTGCTCAGTCAGGTTTACCCAAAGCAGCAAGTGTGGCGCTCATAAACTATTTACGGCAAGCGGAAATCGAAGAAGAAGCGTCTGGAAAGATTGATAATGTTAACTTGTATCTCTTAATGGCGCTATTATCAGCGCTAGATCTCAGCGTTCTGCATTCTAGAGAAGATGGAGAAGAAGCAGTTCAAAGTTTACCCATTTTGTCTGATTCTGAATATATTAATACGATGATTGTTGAATTGGCACCTCTCAAACCAAAGTGGAAGAGTGAAGGTCTACAAGCTGTAGCTACTTTCGGACTTGCCGTTTGCATCGCGTCGTTACGTTTAATTCCCCAAAATCAACAATTCCAAGACGCGATTAACAGAGAAGAAATTTTTATTGATGCCGCAATCGAAAATAATGTGTTTGAGTTTATGCACAATATTATTCTAGAAAATGATATTTTGTACAAGGAAGCGTTTGTGTTTAAGCGAATGCACCATCTATTGACTGATTTTATTGTCTATATGTATCCAAAAGTGAAAGAACTGAGAATCAAAGCTGACGAAATCGCTCGGACTGTGCAGATTTATACAAGAGAAGGGCTAGACGCACCCCCCAATCTTCCACGGTACTTTGAATACTTGATGTTGGCAGTGGCGAAGTTCTACTCAAAAGATACTTTGAATACTGAGTACGTGTTGAGTTATTGGAGTCCAGTTGAGCTTAATTCTGGTCAATATAGCTCGCAACGATCGACGTCACGGGCTGTGTCATTATTTAAATTTGTCCGTTTAGCCGGAGATATGTTACCGCCAACTTTATTTGTACCATATTTAACGATGTTGAGTAGTTTATCTACTTGTCCGCAAGCAGCCAGACACTGTTTTAATATGTTGAAACAAGTAGGACCACAACTAACGTCCACTCTTTCATGGGATCATTTTTTTTCGTCGTTCGCACAATATTATAACAATTTGCGGCAAGAATTGCCACCTGTGACTGACACAGTTTATAGAAATACATATCTGAAAGGAGTGTCACCTCAAGAATTGGAAGGTCTACACGCTGTACTATTACTAATACGAACAATCGCCGATCACGATGAGTTTTCAAGGTTGGCACTATGTGAACATCCGGGTTGGGCGCCTTTAAGTATTCTTCTTGGTTTGGTCGGATGCTCGGTTCCTATTCCTCTTAAGTCAGACTTGTTGCTTACTTTGGCTTCACTGTCAAAGTCTGCAGAGAACGCAGCGCAAATGTGGGATAATTTGGAAACTTCGCAGATCTTGGTAACAGTGCCTACAACGTCTAGTTATACTCCTAGGGGGATACAAACTGAACTAGACGAAGTTGAATCGAGACTTGAAGAATACCCGTTAACGAAAGCCCTACTCAAACTTTTAGATGTGTTGACGGACTTTGGGATTCCTAGGACTCTAGGGGCAGGTCCTAGACCTCCAGGTTTCGATCCCTACTTATCGTTCATCGTCAATTCCGTCTTTCTCAAGTTTCATACGAGATCCTATAGAAACGCGTCTGAGAAGTGGGAAGTAGCAGATCTATGTCTAAAATTGTTTGAGAAGTTTTTGACACAATATGACCCTCAGCTTACTGATTTTCCTAAAAAGAATGTCCCAACGGAGTTTAATTCACCACCCGGGTACCATCTGATGATTCAAATGAACAATAAATCTGAACTTTTGAGTGTCATTTTGGATATTATTGATGAAGGGAATAGATTGTTTGACACGTATGTTGCTTTTCCTAGTCAGCATTTGTTGGAAGAGTGTACTTTGCGCTGTCTGAATATAATCCACTGCGTCTTGGCCTTGCAGTCGAAATTTGTTACCGTTTTAACGGCTTCTTCTGCTTCTATTCTTTTGACTAATATCACGAAACTTCTCCTCACCATCAACCGACGTAGTGGAAAACCAGATCACTGCGTCAACATTGCCAAGTACATCAGTTATCAACCATTTCTCTCAAAACATACCTACGTGGTTGTTAAAATACTAAACCACGTGACGAGTACCCCAATTCTCCATAATCAGTTCATCAACATATTCCTGTCGTCAGATGCGAAAGACGAAATCAGACACGGCTTTGTTCTCAGTCTGGACAACGAAATCGACGATGATGAGGCCCAATTGACAATAAAAACCAAACTCGAAGTCCTCAAGTTGCTCAAGCATTGCCTTCCATATACACCACCAAACTTCAGCCACTTCCTTCTAGGATTCGACATAAAGAAGGACATTTCGAAAACCGAGTTCCAGTATTCTGGCGTTTTAGATTTTCCGAGATCGTGCCTCCACTCAATCATTTCCCTAATGGAAGCGGAAGTCATCAAAGAAGGGTCAACAACGCCGCTCCTGGAAGCAGCTTACGAAGTCATTTTCTTGTTGGCTAGTAATAGCAAGACGTACGGACCGGTATTGAGATTCCTGCGTCTGAACAAAAAATTTTTCACTCAGCATTTGCTGCTCTGTCACAAAAGAGTCGGCGAAGGTTTGCACGTTCTCAATCAGATCGCTTGGTTGATGAAAACATTGGCCGTTGAGTTGAAGATTTGTGGCCAGAGCAAGCAAGTTAGTTACTTGAAGCATTTGACACACTTTTTGGTCAGTTTGCCTCAGCTTGAAAATAACACCAATCAGGATCCGTTTAGTGCCACCTACAAAGATGTGAGGGAAAGCAGCTACATGTCTTTAGAACGGATTAGTAATAACTTTCTCATTAAGTTAATTCCGCACTTTGAGTTTAAAGCCGATACTGTGCAAACACCCGAGTGGCAGTTTTTTGATGGAAAGGTTCTTAACGCGCTTCTGGATCACTGCATCCAAGAGGGTGGGAATAAACTGATTGACTTGAAAAAACTGCACCAGAGGTTGTACGACGAAGTTAAACTGCTGCAAGGCACGGCAGTGATGGGGCAGATACAAGCCATCACTCAAGAAATACCCAAAGTCTTGAAATATGCCCTGGAATTGAACAAGAATAAAGAAAAATATGCCTCTGTGGTTCAGTTTGTTGATGCTTGGAGGCAGGTAGTTGAAGTTATCATGTTATTCATCCCCAACGAGATTCTCTCAGCTAAAGAATCTCAAATGGTTAGTGTTTGCTTTGTTTTGAATTTGCTCAAACGGGTGACCAAGATTGAGTTGTTACCGGAAGTCGGCCAATTGTTATCAGGAGCGGTTTTACTAATACTTGAAAATTTGCGAAAATGTCACCTCTATGAAAAGAAACAGCAGAATATTTCGTCTGAAAACGAAGTAGTGACGAGCATGTTGCAAATGCATTTAGGATCTCTGAAAGAGATTTTAGAGAATTTGATTGAATGGATCATGGTGTCGAACGTTACAGACGAGAAACTAAAAATTAATTTGTATGCGGCTTTGGTTACCTTATTGGAGTTGGCAAGCCTGGAAAAGCCACCAGACAATGTAGCTGTATCTAGCAGTACCTATGTTAGCCGACTCGATAATTCGAAAGTTAGTTTAGAGAATCATTTGCAGAATTTGAAAATGACCACTGATAGTTTAGCCAAGTTCGGTGAGCGACTGGTGGAGGTGATGTGTCAAGATTGTATTGGAGGATACGATGTTTCTAGAATGTTGGCTCTTTCAAGTTTCAGCGTGTTGATCACGCTGTCTGGAAACGTGAACTGGATTGTGTATATGTCTGGACGAGGCTACTTGAAGTTTATAGTCCAGTCGATCTTGGACAGTAACGCCGATCTAGAACGATTGCTAGAACCCGGGCAGACTTCAATCAAACCCCTGTATGTCTACATGTCGAAACTTCTCTTCCTGGGACGTTTAGCTGGAACAAGAGTCGGAGCGGAGCTTCTCCTGGAACAAAAACTCTTCTCGTGTTTTAGCAACATGAACGTTTTTAGTTACCATCCAGAAATTTCCAGATCGTGGCACCCCGATGACTTTCTGGAAAGTTTTATACCACCGCCTGAGGAACTTTATCTCCAAATGTGGCTACCAGCCTTAGATATCTGTAACGCCATTTTAACAACCCTGGGTACAGACAATCAGTCTGCGGTTGTCCAAATCATGTACTTCATTCTGAGTCATCTGGACGTGGTGGAGTCAATTTTGCGATCTGGAACGCCGTCATTGTCGCGTATTTTCCTCAAAGAACTGTCGTTACTAACTTCAGTCATTGCAAGAACTGCCAACAATAACTTAGTTAACATTTTGGAAAACCCCGAAATCGTCCACGACCAACGAGCTCACCTCTTCAGGATACAGAAACTGACTTTGGCACTACTTCCAAAGTTTATTTTGACTGATGAAGTGGTGAGAGAACTTGTGAATAAACCATTGGAGCATCACCACACGTTCCAGACTTCTGAACGTTTGTTGTACGCTATGCAAATCATGTCCAATCTTCTGTGTTATGCACGAAATGTGGTCGCTAATAATGACGTAGAACATGGAGGAATTGGGGTGTTATTCCAGCCAACATTGAAAGATCCGACTCTTCATACTATCGATTTAAGGAATGGGTCGAATTTTAACGATCAAGCACCTTCTTTGGGGGTCGTGGTACAACAGTTAATCACCATTGTAAATTACCACCACCAAGAGAAATTCAACTATGAGTTACTTACACGGAAGTTGAGAGAAATCCCACTGATGGAAAGTGCAGATATTGATGAATACATTGACGAGTCGTACAATCTTCAAGATGTGAACACGAAAAGGGAATATGTGTACGAGTTGCTTTCCAATCGGTTGGAGAAGAAGACTAGGGAAATGCAGTATTGTTCTTATATTATTCAGAATGCGATTTATTTAATATGGGTACATTTGGACTACTATATGTTGAAGGCAATCCCTAAAGTCAAGAATTTTGGGTCGTTGTCAATAAAGTCTCCAATGTCACCAAGTAAGTCGTTTGCAGTTTCGTTTTGTTTTTCCTAAAGTAGTGTTTTAGGTACTTTGGCTTCTGCAACCGAGGCCACATGGAAGGTGTCTACTGATGACATAAGCAACCTTAAGCATGGACTTGTGTCAATATTTAATGATAGTTTTACTAAACAATTACTGGAAAGTATCCAGGTAGTACTGCAACCAAATTGTAGAGAAATCGTACTAATCATGTTTGTTGCAGGACCAAACTGATTTGGATAAAGGATTTGTTGAAACCATGTTGAAAAAAATAATTCGTTTGATACAATTTGTGCCAGTTAAGTAATTTGTAATATTTTTAATATAAACATTTGTTATAAAATGAGCATTATTTCAACCATGATGGGTCGCAAAATCAGATTTATTTAACACGAATCTTTTTTGAAATTAATCAAAAGGGAGCGACAGCGGCGCGAAGGGCATCTCGTGAGGGCCTGCATACAGTCGTACAAAAAGACAATTCATCAGATAGAGTAGATTTATTACAGTATAGACAAAAATATTTAAATACATTAAAAAAATACATCAAACAAATCCAATTTAACGTGTTACCGCATTTTTCGTACCAGCCACAAAATTCGACGACTTCCAACATCTCAAACTTAACAATTCAAATTTCGTGGTTGCTACAAAATACCAATTCGCTAAATTAACATTATGACGAAAATCAGTCATTTCTTTGTGCCAGAAGTTGAAGGTTGGTTTTCCGAATCTTTGGGAGTATCTGGCTTCACCTCCACTGGAGATTCTTCATCTACTAAAGCTTGTAGACCCTTGACATCGCGCGCATCGGGCTGAACTAACGCTAGACTGCCGTCTGACGACGTCAAAGAACACGACAATGGCGACGACCGTTGGCTTAAGGCCGCAGCCCCGCTCACTTTATCACTCGGAACTTGAACCTCTTGACAGCTACTCGTATCGGGAGAACGTATCGGTTTTCTAGTAGACATTTCTAATTGTTTGTACATTTCTAGAATTTTTTCTTCGAATGAACGACTAATGGCCAGCTGCGTTTGGTATTTGCTCTCGAGGATCTGGAAAAGGGGGTTAGAATATGGGCGACATCGAGTGAGAAGTGTACCTTTACTTTCTCTTCCGTTTCGTCGTTTATGCTATTTAAGGTGCGTTTTTGCAAAGATATTGTTTCCTCGTTCTGACGAATTATCTGCTCCAATTCCCCGATTTTGTTTATACAAGCCTCTAGTTTGCTCACTTTTTCTCGGTAACGCTGGTGTAAAGCTAGAATTATATTACATTTGTCAAGTTAATGAATTTTAGCACAAGCGGACAAGTTGACGGTCGCCCCCCGACCTATCTGCATGTATGTGATAGTAAATAAAATAAATAATTTCCAAAAACATACATTGTAGGCAAATATTTTAAATCATGAAACGTCGAGAAAATATAAAAATATCAATTCAATTACTGTACTTGCTTAGCTTACCCTCAATGAGTAAAAATGGTCTCACAGCAATAACAACAACTTGAAGTGTTTATGTTTATACATCGGAAGAGTGGCACGTAGAAATTACATAGTTTAATTTGAATGAGTTTGTCCCCTCAAAAGAAAGGATTAAAATTATTAATTACGCCACGAGAGAATGGGGTGACTCGTTCTTAATTGATAATAATTGATCAATAAAAAATTAGAGAGTTATTAATTTCTATGTATCTAATGAAAAAAGGAAGTAAGGTGGTTAGACAGATATATTTTGATTAAAAATTTACCATGCTTGCAATAAACTCGATTTAAATAATGTTTGGGTCACCTGTACAAGCAATTCCAAAAATATGAAGACAATGATAAATAACAAGTATAAACTCATGTACATTTGTATATTTTCGATAGGATTTACGTGGTAAAATTTTTAGATGATGTCATCAATTTTTTGGAGGGGATAAATAGATATATTTTGGTTAAAAATGTAACTTTAAAACGTCTGCAAAATTTCAAAACATTCGGTTTTGCAGCTTCTTATTTAATCAATAAAATAAAGACTACTTTTTTAAAATGTTTGCAGAGTGCTGCCAGCTATGAGATAATAGTGATAGCTGGTGCTAGGTCTAACCTATCTGGAACTTACTCTTTATTTCATTGTTATAGGATTCTTTCAAAAGCTCTAATTCCTGATCAGATCTTCGAAGGGACGTCAGTTCATCCAGTCTTTCTTTATATTTTAATTGAAGTTCTCCTATTAGCACAAGTTGCTTGGTCACATTTTCAAGTTCGGCGCGACCTTTATCTCCCGCAGCAGCTTGTTCTTTGGCAAACTACAAAAATAAACCCTAAACAAAAACGACAAACACCCTACAAACAACATACTTTGACCTCAGCAAGAGCATCTACAAGCATACCTTCAACTTTCTGTTTTTCTAACGACAACGACAAGCATTTGCTTTTCAAATTTTCAATATTTTCTTGACGTTCTTCCTCAGAGTCTTGTAAAGTTTTATTTTGACACTCTAACGTTTTACACTACAAGAAAACATGTCAAATCTAGACATCAACCCTCTAGTACCCACCTTATCTTCTAAACTTGCAACGGTATTCGCTAACATTCTATTTTCTACTTCCCTCTCTTTCTGAATGCGCTCTAACTGGTGTCTCAACGCATCTATATCAACCTGCTGCAACTGCACTTGATCTCTCTGAAAGACAACGTTGTAAGAAACATCAACATTTTCAAACGAAACTTTACCAAAGCCGAGTTGTGCTCTTCCAACACTTGAGTATTCTTAGCATCTGCCAAAAACCGTCTATTCTTAAACGCGTGTATCTCTCTCCTATGTCGCTCAAACAGAAGCTGCTGATGTACAAGCTTAAGTTGGTTCTTAAGTCCTTTAATATTATCCTTATCGTTATCCTGAATAGCTGTCTCTACATACCTACAACACCACCCTTACACCCTCTTCCACCGACTTCCTCGCCAACTTACTTATCTAATACTTCATTAATGGAAGGCTGACTATACCTCTCCTGCGACCCCGACGACGTCCCAGGCCCCGGACTAGACTTAACCTCTACCCCCAAAGTGGGGAAAATCCCCAAGAACAAATGCTCGTAAGGCATCGGCCAAAAATTCTCGGTTTGGGTTTCAACACTGGCAAGCTTTTGACTGCTGGCGTCGGACATGGCATCTACTCCGTTGGACATGGCACTTTCGGCTCGGTCGGCGCTCTCCGCCCTCTCCACGTTCGACTCTTCGTCGGTTTCGTCCAGGGTCCGGCTGGTCCTGCTGACGTTGTCTTTCACCGACGAAACGGGGCTCTTCTTCATCTCGGGACACGAGTTCGCGCGACGGACTTTCGCGCTGTCCATTTCGGGGCTGCTGCCGCTTAGCAGTTCTTGCGGGTCTGATTCGGCGGTGCACTGACTGTGATGGCGTAGACGCTGGACTCGGCGAGTGAAGTCTTTCATGGATTTTGAGTTGGGCATGTGGAGGCCGCCGGCCGTGCAGGGGGAGCTGCGATCGTCTTCTATGTTTTCACTTGCTGCTAACAAAAATTATTTGTCACACTTCTATTTTTTTAGGTGTAGATTGTAACCAAAATACAGAGTGCATCAAAAAAATGAGGAAATTTTTTACTGAAATAGGTTTTGCGTGCAACTGTAAATTAAATGCATATGTAAAGATATTTAGATCCAGCAGCTGTTTTCTGGTTCAGCTCGCATAATTGGCAGTTTTGTATATAGAAAAAAATAAATAAATAATTGAAGCTATTTAGGCAGAACACCCCTGGTCCCTGAAACACAACCAAATTCAGTTTCATAACTTACAAACGTTAATCCTAGATTTTTTATAATAATGTCTATAATTATATATAGGTAATAAAAATATTACTGTTTCCATTTATCCATATTTTTTTAAACTTCCTGCAAACATTTCTAAAAAATAAAACTACACTACTAATAGGCAAACAACATTTTTTAATAAACTGATGATACATTTTTGCGGTGACGTCATACATTTTCCAAAAGGATTGAATAACTAATTTTAATGGTTGTTTTATTATGCTCACGGCAACCTTGGATAGTGTGTAAAATTTTGCTGCACAATTTTGGATCATTGTGTATACATTGATAAACCACAGATGCAGAAGAAACACATTATTGTTTTCAGATAGCAAAACTTTGAGGTGACGTCATTAAATTATCAAAATAAATTTTGATTCGCGTTTTACCATTTACACGAAATTTTTAAATTACGTTACAAATTAACTAACAGACGACAGATAAATGGAAACGGGCTACCTACTACTTCTCATTCTAGAACTATCTAATTTTGGATTTCACGACGTTTCAAACTCCTACAGTACGAAAAAATAGGTCCGCCGTTTCCTTCTATCTGTCATCTGTGTCGATTTTTATTGGACAGAAACTATCGGGCCGAGATTTATAAAAAATAAATAGAATCCCTTACTTTACTTGACGTCTTGTAGTACGTAGAATACAAAATGATATTACTAGGTACATATGTATAGTTCACAAAAAAAACAAAAACAATATTTTAATTTGTTATTCACATAAATTCTAAAATCTTTACCTGGTCTTAATTTCTGTTATTTTGAAGTTTTGTTCAGCTGCTCATCATTTTCTTTCTTTTATTTAAAAATTTTGTTAGGTAAATCAACATTTGAAATAAATGCTTATGGCAACACTTAAATAATCCATGTATTTTCGGGTGATTTTTTTCAATTTCTGCTCTAGTTGACCACGATGCTTACGTCAGCCGTATCAATTGATAATGACTTAACCACATATGATCCAATTCCATTAGTGATTATTATATCGGTAGCAAAAAATTATAACGCCATTTGAAAAACCACTAACAAATAAAAATAAAATAAATAAAGTTATGCATTCGGGTTGGGTACTTCTGAAAATAACAATATAAAATTAACCTAGTTTTGTTGCAGTTAAAAAAAAACAAGGAAACATTTTTGATGTACTATCGCACGCAAAAGTTTTGTCGGTACCCAGTAGCGAGGGGTATTAAGTTCCTCCGCCTTCTTTCTGCGGGTTGCCATAATTCCCTAAACACTCAAGTAGAATAAAAGTTTTCTTGCTTGGTTACAAAAGTTGATTACACAGTACCTTCTTCAGGTAGAATATCTTCAACACAGAAAGATAAAAGTGAATTAATGGAGTTTAAACAAGTAACTGCCACATCCGTACAAATCATTACTTTTTAACAAAAATGTATATTTAAATTTATCAGGGGTGGATTTTAAATGGAAAGTGGTGTTTTTTTATCAATATGACTTAGTGCGAAATCGAATAAACTGACAAATATTGACAATTCGAAAATAAAACAAGATGAAACTTCGGAATGAAATATATATAAATTATCTTCTGTTTATCCTCTATCTATTTCAATTTTGGGATTTTAAAATTTTTCGACTTTTCGTCTTTTTGATTTGTTACTTATTCGATTTTTCAAAATATTACGACTTTTTAAATCTTACATTTTACGATTTTTCAGTTTTTTGATTTTTCCATTTGTTGATGTTTTGATTGTCCGATTTCTAAATTTTCAATTTTTCGAATTTTCAAATTTTAGATTTTTTTATTGTTTCGATTTCTCATTTTTTCGATTTTTTGCCTTCTCGTTAATAGATTTTTCGATTTTTCAATCTTTCGGAATTCATTTTTCAGTTTTTCGACGTTTCGATTGTTCAGTTTTTCGGTTTTTTAAGTTCAAATTTTTCAATTTTGAATTTTCCCATTTTCAATTTTTGCCCACTTCCATTTCTCAATTTTTCGATTTCTCAATTTCTCAGTTTTTCGATAATTCATCTTTTCGATTCTCAATTTTTGGCGTTTCTAAATTTTTGGATTTTTCGATTCCTCAATTTTTGGATTAATTGATTTTTAATTTTTCGACTTTTCGTCTTTCCAATTTCTCAAATTTTCAATGCATAAGTTTTGGAATTTTTCAATATGTATTTCGAATTTTAAATATTTATATTTTTCGATTTTGTTTTTTTTTTTTGATATTTACTTATTCGATTTTTCAAAATATTGCGACTTTTTAAATCTTACATTTTACGATTTTTCAGTTTTTTTATTTTTTCATTTGTTGTTTTAATTGCCCGACTTTCTAAATTTTCAATTTTTCTAATTTTTAAATTCTTTCGATTTTTTGCCTTCTCGTTTTTAGACTTTTCGATTTTTCAATTTTTCGGAATTAATTTTCAGATATTTCGATTTTTCAATTTATCAGTTTTTTTAGTTAAAATTTTTCAGTTTTGAATTTTCCCAGTTTTCCATACATATTTAGATATTTCGATTTCTTAATTTTTCGATTATTTGTCTTTTCGATTATTCGAGTTTCCAATTTTTTGACGTTTCAGTTTTGGGATTTATGTACATATTTAAATTTTTCAATTTTTAGCGTTTCTAAATTTTTGGATTTTTCGTTTTCTGAATTTTTGGATTTTTCGTTTTATTAATTTCTCGGTTAATCGATTTTTTAATTTTCCGATATCTCTGTTTAAGTTTTAAGATTTTTCAATTTTGGGATTTTTCAAGATTCCGATTTTTAAATTTAAAATTTTTCAACTTTCTGTTTTTTCAATTTATTACGTACTCGATTTTTAAAAATTGTGCGAGTTTTTAAATCTTACATTTTTCAACATTTTCATTTATTTTAATTTTTGAATTTTTTAGTTTTTTAAAATTTCTGACTTTTCAATTTTCGGTTTTACAATGTTTTGATTTCTCCTTCAAAAACGAAATATCACATATTAAAAAAAATAACGCTAGGAGTCCCTAAGTTTCTGTAAAATGCTTTCCAAAAAAAAAAAAAACACTAGGTACCTCCAAGACTTTCTCTTTTAAACGCAAAAAATTGGCCTAAAGTTATTTAGACCAATCTTCCCTCGCCCCTGAAGTAAAAATATATAATCAGTACATGCTTAACTTCAATTGTTTATGTTTATACATCGAAAGAATGCGACAGTTAAGCACACAGCAAAGTGTCTCCTCAAAACAGTGGAAGCGATTAAAATTATTAATTAAGCTTCAATGCAGCAAAACGTTCTGAATATGAATCTGGGTAAGTCGATTTTATTATAACAATTTTATTTTATCATTATTAAATATAGGCGGGCGCAACATTATTATACAGTAAATGGTCCGCTTTTTCTGTCAAAATTTGTCGTATAAATAACTTAAAAACTTAAAATGCGTGATTAAATAAGTGGATAAAATCTTGTAATGATCTATATGATATACAGAGTGTTTATTAAAAAAGCGGTAACCATTCTGGGGTTATTCCTCGGATTATTTCAAGTTTTTTTTGTCCTTGAATGATTTTCGAAAACACGCTTTGTTTCGAAGATAATGAGGCGAAAAAATAAATAAAAATCCCCTGTAAATTAATAATCTTTACATGTAATACGAATTAGTAAAGTATTGTTTATTTTTCGAAAAGCTTTTATCGGCCTGTCTTTCCGAAAATCATCTGAGACAAAAAAATCTTAAACCAACCCAAGGAATAACCCCTTGAATTTTAAAATATAATATACAAGCTACTATAAAAATTATTTCTTGCATCAACTCAAAAATCTTGACCTCCTGATGAATTTATTTTATAATAATTTTTTTTTTTTGTTGAAATTTGGATCTAAATGCATTCTCAAAACATTTTTAATAATCCACACGTGACCGACCACTAACTGGCCAAATACCATATGATCGAAAAACGTCCTCTAGTGGGCCATGAAATTAATTGTTAAAATAATGATGTTGGTATCGCAGCTATTTGACAATTTATTGACAGTTACTTGACCGTAACTGTCAAACTAAACAAGGAACGCGTACGTGTTGCCAACACAATTATTTTAAAAATAAATTTCATGGCTTACTAGAGGACTATTATAGAAACTTTTCTCCCACTTATTTCTTATTCCCCAAAAATAATAATAAATTTAGTGTGGTACTACTGTCCTGAACTTGACGTAAACCGTTGCCAACATGACCTTTAACTGATCACCACTCAAGCAGTTGGTCTCAGAGACTTTAAATATGTATATATTTGAAGTCTTTGGTTGGTCTTACAGCCAACTCTAATTCATTTTATTTTCGATAGTATGGTGTATTACACAGAGTCATCAAAATTGATTGAGAGAGTTGGTAAACCTGAACTTGAATAATTTGGTTTATTAAGTTGTATAAAAATATTAGCTGTCAGATTTGAAGTTTCAAGTTTCAAATTTCAAAACTCAGTGGCGTCTTTTTTCAATTTTTTTTTTTTTGGTAAAAAATATTAGTTGTCAGATTTGAAGTTTCGAATATTTTAGATCCATTCATTTCTGGAATTTGTTCTCAAAGATGCAAGTAGCAATAGGGTATAGGGTGTGCATCGACCAAGGCGATTCGTATAAACGTTAAAACCCTTCGCAACTTTGCAAGAAGGTAACTTTCCTATTCGCAACTGATTCAGGTGAGTTCGACAAGCAACCCCCAGTTCTCTTGTCACGCCACTGAATTCATTGCCATATAACCTTAAACAAATCTGTCATAAGGTTGACAAACTTCACGACAAAAGCAGGGAGTACCAACTCTCTCAATCAATTTTAATGACTCTGTATAATCTTAGATTGTTTATATTACAATTATCCACTAGTATCATGAAGTCAAGGAAAATAAATCAGTTGCTTTCCTTTATGGAAAGCCGCTAAAAAATAATATGTATGTTCAATGTGCTTCCTTCCAGTGAAATGACCACATTGTCACACCATATACCTGGTGATACTTTAAAATTATGATAAACGTGCCAATATAAAAGTTAATAATCTACAAATAAAAACAAAACAAAACCAATTAATCAAGACGCATGCAAAATTTGTTAAAATTCTCAGTGTATCAGTGTTACCAAATGTGAAAATTCCGCATTCAAATTAAACAAGAGATAACTAATTAATCATTAACTAAACTTATCAACTAGATACATACAGTCTTCACTCTCATGCAATACACTATCGCTCTGTTTGAGGGCGGGCTGACTAGGTTCACTCTTTTTCTCATTCACATAGTCGTCTGGATCCACCGAAGATCCACTACTCTTCAAAGGACTTCTATCCGCCCTAATTTTTTGCGGACTCGTTGGAGAAAGCGATTTTAATTTTGTACTAGCAACCTAAAGAACACATATCTACTTTCAAATACCCAAAAGTGCACACGATCAACTCACAGGAGACTTATCAAATGAAAGAGAAACCATCTGAAAATCACCTTTCGAAGTCGACGGTCTAGCATCCCCGTAGAAACTCGAAGTAGACGATCTAGGCTCTACTGAGAAATTAAAAGGCGATTTTTCCTTGCGAATAGGCGACTGGGGTTGCGATGGAGAAGTTAGCGACTTCACTTGAGTTCTCAGAGCATACTGAGTTTCCTAAAAAATTACATTAAAACGTCGTAAGTGAATCTGAATGGAACAAACTTCTTGAATTACTGGGGTAGTTTCTGGGGTTGCTTCTATTGCTGCTTCTGGTGGAGAAGACCCTGCTTGTGGGACAACATTTTCATCATGTGTAAATTCCTGTCATACAAATTTCTCTTATTTTAAAGTTTCTTTAGGGGTGGGTTTTAGTGATTTATGATTTAGATACGAAATAATTGATAAAAGCAGCCGCGTTGTTTCTAGTTAGATAAATCAACGTGCAACCTTTTAAATCAATTATTTGAAAATAGTAAAAGCACTACCGGCTGAGGGACGTAAGTTGGTATCGAAACTCCTCCGACAGGTGGCGTGTTAGGATTAAAAGCCATACTCGGTGTAAAATACTCTCCTTTGTCGTTAGACATTGACGCTGCCAGATTTTTCAAAGACTGAAAATATACCGCATCTACAACAATTTTACTAATGGAAAGTTATGCCAATATTGAATAACGTTACCAATGGAAGAATTGGCAGTGCCAGATCTGGATCTAAAACCTGACGCTAGTTGACAAGAATCGTGAGCGCAAAATGTGTCAGAGACATCTAGCGAAAATCGCTCGCACTCTACAATGACATCATGGACGGCCATTCTTCTCCATCTTTAAAAACACATTTTATTATTATCATAAATGCTAATTTAGTACAACGATAAACTGACCTTTCGCTAGTTGTCTCATTATCTTTGGATGTTGTAACTAAAGAAGGATTCATTTTAACTGTTTCTAACATTGGCTAAAACGATTTATTGTCAATATTGTTAACACATCAGAAAACAATGTTTTACCTTAATAGTGTGAATAAATACTGCTTTGTTTTTATCTTTGTACTGTGTTCTCAGATATGCCAAAAAGTTACAAGGAAACATGCCATAAAGTCTGAGAAATAAAGCATACAAAGCTACTTGCATATGGATCATCTGTTCTTCTACTAATCTTCCAGGATTACAGTTCCAAGAAGCCAGACGACTAAAAAATCATGTTAGCTTGGGTAATCATGCGAACAAGATAATTTTTTTTTAATAAATGTCATGGCTTACTAGACGACTTTTTTTCATACTTTATAATAAAAAATAACTGATGTGAAAAAACATCACAACGTATATTACATTTGTTAATTAAAATTAATTGATTAATTAAGTAATTTCAGTTCTAATTTACTACAGATGATGCATAATTGACACTTAAGTTTTGCTACAAATCATACAAACAATATTTACCTGAAAATATCAAAGATATGGTTTAATAGTTCCCCCATGGAGTATGGAATCATTGGAATTAAAACAATCAAAACAAGTAATGCACTTATCAGAGGTAAAATTTCGACTTCCTCCTGCAACAAAACCTTTAATAACAAAATCTTCGCAATTAATCCTTGATTTACTTTTAACAATTTTAACAACTCTTTTAAAAGATGATGTTCTGACAGTCTGTAAAGCCATGTTGGTTGGCTGCGAACAATATGACCTAACAACGTAAGAGCTTGCACTTTGACATCAGTTTTTGAACTTTTTGCAATCGAGTCACTTAATCTATCAAATAAATATTGATGGTGCGGTTCTTTTATATTAACCAACACAACAATCGTGTTGGCGGAATTTGTACTTAGGTAATAATCATACAAGCCATTAACCAACCAAGAATCTCGAACTGTAAGAAGAAAACATTAAATTCAACATCACAAGCTATTACAACGCTCCTACCGCTAATAAATTGTTCTAGTATTTTTTGCTTGATGGCCTCAACCTCCTCCTTATTATTGGATTCTAACTGTTGAAAAATCTCTGACATTTTGTTGGTATTTGGTGAATTGTTGTCAGAATAGGTTAGCTAAATGTTGGAAGTAGACGTTAGGCAATAACGGTGTGAGAGTACAAATAATTATTATCGCAGAAGTGCATTTTATAGAAACACGCCGGACCTGAAAAAATGAGTGTAAAGAAGTGTTAAAAAACATCTTTTACCTTAATGGCTTTAAAGCAAAAAGATATTACTTGACACTTTTTAGGTTGACATTTACCCGATTGTGAATGCCAAGTCGTGGATATTTCGATATCGTGGATGAACTTCGTCATGTAATTGAATTTACTTCGGACAATTCGTAAATATTTTTCCAAAAATACTAGCAAAAATTCACACCGTTCTACTCAAGAGATTCAAGTGTCATCGAATGGATTCATTTTTTATCACTGAGCATGCGCAAAACGTGTTTACAAAAACAGCCGTCACATACCGGGTGATCCATGTGTGTACAAAGTGTGTATCTTGCGTGTACAAATAAATCAGGTAGGTAAACATACGTTCCAAATGAGTTTTCCTTTAACAAAATTTTGTGATAATTTTGTAAAGACACGTATATCAGTTTGGATAGGTGTAGAGTAAATGGCAAGTATATTCATCATATTTTGCACATTTTGAATTTTGTATAGGATTTATTCGGAAAAATTTTGAGATAACGTCATCAATTTTTTGGGAGGGGATAAACGCATAAATTTTGCTTAACCATTTACCATGATTACGATAACCTTAAAATATTTACAAGATTTCAGAGCAATCGGTTTTGCAGTTTAAAAGTTATATTGCAAAATATTGTTATTCAGTTTTGAATTTTTTCCAAAAATTCTGGATGTCTAGGATGAAAATTCGACATGGATTCACACACCAGAAGTGCAGGAGTATCTTATTTTATAAAATTTAAAAAGCCTTTTTATTATAAATTTTGGAGATGACGTCATCCCATTGGTGTTGGGGATGATAAGCCAAATTTGCCTGGTCAGCGCTTCTACTTCGTACGCCAAGGCCTTGACACTACCGACACTTACAAAAAGTTGTTTGATTTTTTTTTTAATTTTGATGCATCGGATAACAGCTCCATGCGGATTCATAAACTACAAGTACAGGAGTATATTACTGCAAAAATTTAAATATTTCAAAAAAAAAAAAATAAAGGATGTCATCAAATTCTTGATGAGGATGATTAGCCAAATTTTGGTTAGCGTTTCACCATCTACATGATATTTCTAATATACATACAAAATTTGACAACAATCAGTCCAATCAGTTTTCGGAAACTAACTCTCTAAAATAAAAATTGACAGACGACAGACAGACGGAAACGGGGGAACACTTTATTCGTACACTAGGGATCATGAAACATCGAGGAAATATGGTACTGGCAAGTTGCCCGATGGATTCGATTACTACACTACCTTAGCTTACGCCCGGAAGTAAAAAAACTCCGTTTAGACTAAACTAATGCTGTAGATTTGCAAAGAATATGTACCTAGATGCAATATTAGAAAATTCTTTGGTTTAAAATGTACAAAATATGATATGAGTCTATATCTGCGATTTATCATTGCATTTTAGAATGACTTATAGAGGGTGATTAAAAAATAATGAATGAGTCAATTTATTTTATTAATTGAATCAGGAACGGCTCATTCTACAATATTGTTATTATTACCATTCGAGTGCACCTATCCTAACTGATATACGTGTCTTTGCAAAAATGGTAATGACATTATCACAAAATTTTGTAAGGAAAAGACTCATTTGAAACATACGCTTAGCATGCTTCTAGTTTAACATTGGATACACATGTTTATTTTAAGATACAAAATAATTTTAGCAATCTCATCGTGACGTACGATGACGTCACTGTTACATGAGCTACCTGAGCAAAGTTCAAGTTTTCCGGTCCTTTGTGTTCAATTTTGATCTCTGTCTGGTGGCAGCAACATCGAAACTCCTTTTAGTTTAAAAGTAGCATATGTCCGCGAATTTCTAATTTATTGTTAATAAATATTAGTAAAAATGTTTTGCGTTAGTGCTGTGAACACGAAAGAGAGCGGATATTTTTCCAAATATGCCCGAAAACGGAGTAAGAACGATTTGGTTTTAATTTATCTGGGTCCGTGATTCCTGTATTCGACAAATATGAAAATAATATAAATTATCATGTCATAATAAACAATATTTGAACATAATTAACATTATTTATACCGTTTAAATATATGATAAGCATGAATATGTCATAATTAAACCGAAAACCGTTTCCCTGCAAACATCAAGTTATTAAAAACAATTCAGTTTGTTTAAATATTGTTAAATTAAACCCGAAAATGTACAATTCCCCGGCCAAAATTTCAAAAATAATTTTTGCAATTTCATCGTGACGTACGATGGCGTTACTGTCCGTAAGTTATCTTAACAAAGGTCAAATTTTTCGGTCCTTTGTGTTCAGTTTTCATTTCGATCTAATAGCGACAACTTCGGCGTGTTGTTTTGGCGTAAAATTAACGCATTTTCGCGAATTTGTAATTTATTGTTAATAAATATTAGCTAAATCTCTTGCGTTAGTGCTGTTAACACGATGGAAACTGGATCTTTTTCCAAAAATGGGCAAAAACTGAGCACGTACTAATTGTGTTATAATTTATCGAGGTCCGTGATTCGTATATTCGACAAATATAAAAAAAATATATAAATTATCATGACAGTAAACAATATTTAAACATACGATAAGTATTATTATGTTATAATTAAACCGAAAACTGTTTTCCTACAGACATGAAGTCACTTTGTTTAAACATTGTCAAATTAACCCAAAAAATGTGCAATTTCCAGGCCAAAATATGAAAAATAATTTTTGTAATCTCATCGTGACGAACGATGACGTCACTGTCACGTGAGCTACCTGGGCAAAGGTCGTGTGTTTCGGTCCTTTCTGTTCAGTTTTGATTTCGGTCTGGTGGCAGCAACATCGGGGCATCTGGAGCTCCGTTTTGGCTTAAAAGTAGTACGTGTTCGCGAATTTCTAATTTGTTGTTAATAAATATTAGTGAAAATGTTTTGCGTTACTGCTGTAAACATGAAGGAAAGTGGATATTTTTCCAAAAATCCCGAAACCGGAGTAATACGACTTGAGTTTTAATTTATTTCTATTTTATTGTATTGTATAACGTTTTATCCTTTATTAACAAATCCTACCCTCTCCTTTCCTGGCAAGATCTGCTCCAGATCTTCCCGTGGTTCTTGCTGAGCATCAACGATCCAGGCCAAAAAAATTCATATATTTAGAGACAGCAAAGTTGCAGAAAATTCGTAAAATTCGCTCGTTGGTGGCCAACGTGAAGCAAGGGGACTTTCGTAACTCAAGCATTTATACTGTTTAAATATGATAAGTATAAATATGTCATAATTAAACCGACAACCGTTTTCCTACAAACATGATGTTATTAAAAACAATTCAGTTTGTTTAAACATTGTCAAATTAATCGATCACTTCGAAATTTCACTCCGCGATATCAAATTTTATTTTTCTTAAATATTTTTCGTCTCTAGTTTGTAAAAAATCATGTTTGTTAATTTTAAGGAGTCTCTATCTGTTGATGTATGATCACGCACCAAATAGATCCGCTTTTTACACCAGTAGGATTGATATAAATATAGATGAATATACGACATCATGAATACAAGATATAACAAAATAGAAAACAAAAAGTCACTATTGACGTCGAAGACAAACGAAATTATCTGTAATTTCCCAATAATTATAAAATTTGGATCCTCTTATCGAACAAACCAATCAATACTGATTAGTCTGAAATTTCTAACATAAATACAAAATTTAACAACAATCGTCTCAGTACTTTCGGAGATTATCTGTGTAATATAAATCCGGAACGGCAGACAGACGGATAGATAGACAGACGCACAGACAGACAGAAACGGGAGACCTATTTCTTCGTACTCTAGGGATCATGAAAGGTCGAGGAAGCGTAAAAGTAGTCGACCGATGGACTCGATTACAATACTTCCTTTGGTCAGGAAGTAAAAATGATGTAAAATTTGGGCTTTGGAAAAATATACTTATAAATTCTGTAAACGTCATTATTTTTAGCTTGAAGTTGGGAAAACGTAATTTAGTACACTGCGGATATGACACATTTATTGCAACGTAGGTATGAATTTAGGTAGATCACGAATGAGGAATTAAAGGTGTAAAGCGTGTATAATAAACAAAAAACTAAATTCCAGGTAATTTATTTCCAAGCTGCTTGATACATTACAGTTTTTCTAAAAGTCACGACCACACACGCATGGATCTTGTTGATGGTCAGAAGCGGAATCGGTATCCCCCATTCCAGGAACAGTCGAGTGATATGACTCCTTAAGGAAGTTAACATGACCTTGAAGATTTCTGATCCGCATCTGCGCGTCTTCAAAGTTCTCATGAAGATTATTAATCTGTGACTGCATTTTTTGTCGGATTTCATCTCGGTCCTTCTGCGCAGCTCTCGCTTGTGCTCTACTTTGGGCTAATTGTCTTTCTAAATCGGAGACCTGATTTTGCATAGATCTCCGTACTGTTTCGCAACGTTCTTTATTTCTTGCCACCTGCCGTGCAGATTCTTCTCGTACGGATTCCAGCTGCGCTGAGAGTTGGGCTATTTCATGTAGTTTTGATTGAACGTCTCTGTCGGTGTCTTGGAGAAGCTCGTCAGTTTTCTGCAGTTCATTCTGTATGTTGGCATTTTCTTCCTCTAGTTCGTTCACTTTATTCTCAAGTTCTTGTACACGGGCTGCCATTGATTGTTTTTCGCTCTGTCCCAGCTGGTTGTCACTGCTGACTTTATCCATTTGCTCGGTAATTTCAGCAATTTTGTCTTTATATAGTTGAAGTTCTCGATTTAGAGAATCGTTGTTACGTTCCGCTAATAAATGCATTTGTTGTACTTCTTGTAACTTTAGTTGAGTAGATTTTAACAAATCTGGAAGAGGCAAAAGTTCTTGTAGCTTCTCTTGAAATTGATTTTTAACTCTTTGTATTTCTAAATTAACTTGTTCGTTAACTCTGTTGGCGTCCATTTCTAACATGTCGATTTGCCTTTTTTGTTCTTCGACTTCTTGTTGTGCTTCTAAATACTGCAACAGCAAATTTTAATCATTTGTGAAATAGTCATTTTTGTTACCTTGTTTCGATAATCGTCCAGTTGTTGTTGCTGATCTTGAATGAACGATCTAAGTTCTTCCAGCTCATCTTGAGCTTCTCTGAATCTTTGTTTTGCTACTAATAACTGTTGCTCTTGTTCGATCATGTGCTCCTTCGATCCTTGAAACTAATTGAAAGATAGTTGATGTTTCACAATTCAAAATCTCTTACTTTATTGCTGTCAAGTTTGAGTGATTTCAGTTGCCGCTCTAGATCTTTGACTTTTTCTTCCATGAGTTTCCTTGCTTCTTCTGCGTCTTTTATAGTAGTTTTAAGTTTTTCATTATCAGCACGAAGGCATCCCACTTCACACAGTTTCCCTTTGAAGTCATCTTGCAGTCGACAGTACTGTTCTCTTAATTCTCTTAGTTGTTGATCTGAGCAAGGCATTATACATGGGGCACACGGAGGACATGGTGGTACACACGGGGGATATATGGGAGGACAAACAAGAATTTTTTTGTGTTGTTCTAAGTGTTCTCGTTCAGCCTGGACGGCAGTGAGCTCTGACTGCATGCATTTTACATCATTTTCCATATCACATAGTTGTTTTTCCTGTAATATATACATAGTTACACAGTTTGACATAAACATACGAAAAACTTACTAGAAACTTGGTAGTTTCTGAATATTCGTTTAGACGACCTTCAATATCTGCAGGGCATGTGCCCTTATTTTTTCCACAAGGCATTTTTTTTGGTTTAGCACTTTGCTGTTTCTGTTCACAAACCTGTAAAAAACTGTGTAGGACTACTTACGGCTAAATTTCCAAATATATTTTTATTACTTGTTGAATTTTTTCGTTAAGTACTGAATTTTCTTTGCAGAGCATGCGCATCTCACATTGGATCGTATAGAGTTTTCTCTGCAGATATTCGATAGTTTGGTCCTTGTTGAGTAAATCCGACTGTAGTTTGTACCTAGAATTTTTTATTGAGCTTCATATTTAAAATAAATTTAGTGTTATTTCATTTTGACAGATTAGTTTGACTTGTTTGTGTAGTTATTGGTACCTAATTAATTTAATACCTCATGCCTTCTAGATCAGCATTTTCAGCTGCCAGTCTCTCTTGCATGGTGTAACTGTCGCTTAATCTTTTAGCAAATTTTGGCACCACCGACTGAAATTAATTCTCATTAGTGTGTATCATATCAAAATCAATTTTCAAACCATGGGTATATTAACTTCTTGGGGGGCCTTATTGTAACCTGGAGAACACGGTGGACGCGGCGAAGAACCGCTTTTCTTCTTTTTCTCGTCACAGAGAATCAACTTGGGAATATTGTGCTCCGTCATTCCGCAAACAATCACTTTGGGCAAAACGTCTTCGTTGTGTCTCATTTGAAGAGGACTATCTGGAGGAATCATTTTCTCGAATAGGTTTGTCTGAGCAATCAGAAACTGAATTCTTTTAGTTTTTTCTTCAAATAAAAGCATCTGAGCTTTCAATTCTCTATTTTTTTCTTCCAATTCTTTAGCTTCAGCTTCGGTGTGCTTTTCTTTTTTCAGAAGTTCGGTCACACGGATTTTTAGTTCGTAGATAATCTTAGCAGTAGATTTAGCTTGCTGTTCTGCTTCCTCTAGTTCTTTCAAAACAGCTGCATCTATCGCTGGATCAAATTTGAAAATTGACCCATCACCAGCAGCTTTCGTCTCTCCTTCTCCCTCTCCTTCTCCTTCATCCGTCTCTGTTACGCCTTCCTCTGTATCTCCCTTTGTAAGTAACGATTATTGGTGAAATACCACATTAGTGTATAAGAAACTTACTGCTGTAGTGCCTAAAAGTTGTTGGTTCTCTTCAGTTACCTCAGCTAGTTCTGCAGAAGCTTGTTTTATCATATCTTCAACCTTTTTCAGTTCATCTTCCTATTTTAATTAAAATCATTAAGATGCTTTCCTAGTGTTGACTTACTTACTTCTTCTTCTTCTTCTCCTTCCGTTTCAGTTTCAGTTGGAGGTTCAGTTGTTGGTTCAGATGCGAGTCCTGCTTCCGGCCCCGCTTCTGGACCTTCTGGAACAGTAGTGTCGAATTCGTCAGCGGATTCGTCTTCCGCCATGTCTTTGGGTGATTCTTCGACTACTTCGACGTCTTGCTTTAACTTGATTTCTTTTGCAACGTTGTTGATACTAATTTGTGAATGATTCTTTAATGTGTACACAGAGTTTCTGGAACTACTTGGGGAGTAAAATATGTCAGCATCAACTTCCTCTGTTTCTTTCTTAAGGCGAGGGGGTGATTTAATAACTTTGATGGATGATTTTAAAAGTGGACCTCTGTTTTCTGAGGTACTAGACCGTGTGGAGGTGGGTGTTTTTCTGTAGAGATGCTTCCGCGCACTTCTTGGTTTTAGTTTTACGGAAGTGGGAGACCCTTTCTATTACAAAATCAAAAGTGTGTATTACTTGACTATGTTTGAAACTTTTACCTTTCGTAAAGCCTCTGAGGATTTGGAGTATTTTGCTGACGGTAAACGTTTGGTTAGTTTACGAAAGAAATTTAAGTCGATCGAATCGTAATTTCTTAAAGTTTGTTTGAAGTAAGTGTCAGCGTCTCCGGAAGGGCGAAGTGGTTTAGTACAAGAGGTGTACTGTTGGAAAATATCCAAATTTTGGTGCAGCGAAAGACTTGAGAAAATCTTCTTTTTTGCTGACGTTTTTGAAATGGTTTCTTCGATATTCGAACCTGAACGTTTCAACAAATTCTTATTTGGCAGACTAATTTTCTTTCTGTTCTAAAAATCTAAAAATGTCAAAATAATAGTAAATCAATTGTTATTATTTACTTTCATTTTGCAGGAGAAAATCACTCTGTGGGAGAATTTGCTTGCTTGGAGTGGATTTCAACACACGATATAAGATTAAGGCACTGATGGAAATTATAATTACGTGGTAGAAATTAGTATAAATGTACAATTGATGCCAATTGGGACAACAAAAAGTAAGAATTTGTATGTCAACGACTATGCTGCCTCGATCCATTTGTGGTTTCGATTTTTTTTTCACTAACAAAAATATAAATCGTTTAAACTTCATTTCTTAAAAATTCTGGAATGCTTCTGAAGAAATAGTACATCTTCAATGAAAATCAGTCAGTCCTATTATTAATGTTATTTTAATTAGGTTATTAAAATGACACGTTGACAATTTAAAGTGAGAGCAGCAATCTATCCATTAGTATCTCAAACTAATTAATAGTGTATCACAAGTGAATAATCTTTTGTTAGAGGAAACTATTATTATTTAATGAGGTAATAGAACTGAAAATAAGTACAAAATTTGGGTGTTTATCAGACACATTACTGTTTCCATTGTATTTTTTGCAACAATAATTTAACTCGAAAAAATGACAGCGTAACCGAAAAGAGTGTTGAAATTTTCACTGTTAACCAAAACTTCAAAAGCCAAAAATTATGTTGTAGAATCAAGGAAAACAAATAGCTAATGTTTTTGATTAGATCAAATGGACAAAACTCGATTTACGTCTCTTAAATTTAAAACTTAAATTTCGCGCTGAAAGAAAAAAACGACGCGGAGCTAAATATATTTGAAAAACTATAAATAATAAAAAAAAACTGCAAAGACGACTTAGGGTAGGAAGATTGTAATACGAAGTAGAAAAGACCCAGAATCGGACGCGAGGTTCGGGGAGAACGCATTTTTGACACACTTCTCACGTAGCAGTGCTAGTTGAAACATGTGTTAAATTTTGATATGTAGAATATTGTTTGTAATTTCTTTCTTTCCTGCGTGAACGTAGCTTTAGAGTGAGAGTGGGTTCTTGTTATTCTATCAAATGGGAAGTGCTATCAGGTATCCCTCAAGATTCGGTGTTAGGTCCGATATTGTTTCTTGTGTATACAAAATTCGAGGTAAAATTGACGTGATATATTTTTTGGTTAAGATTTGTTTGATGAAATCGCCAGAAAAATGAAAATGTGTCCCTTCACAGCGGTTTAGACTGTCAAAAAAAAAATCAATAAACTGTGGTGCCTAAATACCTACTTACAGATGATATTGTATACCCGATCTCGCGCTTTTTATGCAGATGACGGTAGAAGAGTGTAATTAGTGCAATATCAATACATTAATAATTTTACATTACATTATTCACCCTTCATAACTTTTCAGTCGACATTTAAATTTGAGAGTAAGAATATTAGAAATTATAATCAGTTAAATCAATATCATCATCGTGTAGACATGGGAGATGTATCCATTTTTTTATTGTATATTATTAGGACCCACCACTGACCCGGAAATGACCGGCATTCAGGCAAGACTTCTATCATTATCTATTATATTATTGATGTATTATTTTGTTGCTTCCAAATTATTGTCTCATAGCTTGAATTTGAACATTTATTCTCGAATTATTATTAGACCTTCACGAGGAGACGCCCTTCGTTCCGCTGTCGCTACAGTCACGTCCTGACGCTGCGTAGTTTGTTTTTTACTCAACTTTGATTGTTTTTTGCTCGACTGCTATATAATGTAACCTTGCCGCTGCACAAATTTAGAGACGGTACAATAAGATAAATTAAAATAAACATTGTGATAACCCAAACTTCCCGCCTTAAATTGAGACTTGAAAAAGTTTGAAAGGCCCGCGAAAAATTCAAAAATTCTAACAAAAGGAACCTACGTTGTGGTTTATCCAGCCACATATAATACATTGCAAATGAAACACGTAAAAATATGAAAGAAAGAGACAACCGCGAGTTGACAGATATACACATATGGGAAACCGAACAAGTACAAAAACCTTACGTTTATGTTTTGAATCAATGCAAATATTTGCATATCACAAATTTAATAACAAAAAAGCAAAATCTGAATTAAAGTAACTGGATACAAATACACAAGTTATTACAGGCGTGTGGCGGCAAATTTAAAATTACGCCAGTCACAAGAGCACAACAAAAATACCCATAGGGCGCTCTAGCATACGCGGAGTTTGGGGCTCCCGGCCGGGGCTGTTCTCCCCCGCGACGGTGATTCTATCTATCGCAAGCCTACCGCAAAGCACATCTCCATGACGAACATGCCGTCCTAATCAGGTTGTTTCGGTCGAAAACTGTTGGTTGGAACGTCAAGGCTATAAAAAAGCTGACAGCTTCACATCGTCCAGACCGTTCCCACTGACTCTACACAAAGCCTGCACCCCTTGTGCAGATGGCGCGACAAATCCCGCTAGCCCCACTAGGAGCCGCACCGTACACTTCTGCTATGCGTTCCGGTGTTATTTAACCTCAATTTCATTTTTAAATGTTCAATTTCTTATGACTCTAATATTGTCGACAACTGAACAAGTGTTAAAGTTTCAAAAGTGCATTAAACAACATTTAAATTCGACATACAATCTTGTCAAATTTTAAACAACAAATAATTCTTATGTGAGATTAAAATTGGACATCAAATAATTTATACGATGAAAACATTCATCAACAAAATATTTACAAAACAAAACTAGCAATGATCTATAAAAATTAAAGATCTGGTATGAAATAAACTTGTGCAAATAAAAATATAGTGAGGTTAAAGCTGCAGAGCATGAAATTTACGTTCAATTAAAATTATACAACAAAGAAAATTACAAGTTAAAATTGTGAGATAGAGAAATATTGTATGAGGTGAAAAATTGCAAAGTTAACAAAATTTACATGAGATTAATATTTGCCGCACTTTATGAACGATTTAAACAAAGAGTTTACATTATGTCAAATTATATCATGATCCAAATGATTGGTTACTTTGAGAGTTTAAAATACCGTGAACTGGTTACCCTAACAAAACACACAATAAACAAACACAAAAATATCCAGTTATCGTTGCGAGGAAAAAGCGTCTCGGTGATGAAAATTTATCGTTGCGAAGAAATGCCTCGATGATGTAAATTTTAACGTTGCGAGGAAATACCTCGATGACATAATCAATCTCTAGCGTTGCGGGGACATGCCTCAGTGATGTAATCAATCTTTAACGTTGTGAGGACATGCCTCAGTAATGTAATCATGATAACGATGATAACCGCCTAAGAGAAGAAATTATTTTAACCCTCCGCCAGTCCATAGTATAATGAATTTTGTTAATTTAACTGCCGTAAATGAACTATTAGCAAGAATTAAGAAGTGTTATAATGTAACACTTACGTATATGCACCCAGAAACTTATTCATAACTTGTTAAATAAAGAATTGTTATCCTGACTAAGTGAATTTCATGAAATCTTCTACCAAATGGTTTATTTAAATAATCATGATTGTTAAATTATGTTAGCACTAGCTGACGATTAAATTCGGCGACTCGGTGACGGCGGCCGGGCGGCAGAAAATCCTGGAAGCGGAAGTCGCGATGAGTATTCCAGAAAGACCTCGATTGCGAAATATCTAGAAGGGAAGTATGAATTTAAATAGAGGCCACCTTCGGAAACGAGATTATTCAGTCAGTCGAATCAAGTCCAGCCAGGGTCGGGAAAATCCAGTTAAGTTGCGCCGGAATTATTTTGTACATAATCGCTCTAAATTAGTTGTGTAAATGAAATTAAATATCCGTTCAACGTAACAATATTATCGAGTGGAAAAAGTCTCTTGTGACATCCCATGAGTTTATGGTGGAGACATTCGAACAAGAAAAAGTTACACCAAGATATGTAAAGTTATTAACCACTTATAATCTTTCTGATCAGCTGATTGAGCTCCTCTGGCCAAAGAAACTTACTTTTGGCTGTGTTAACGATTAAGTCGTTCTCTACAGAATATTTTTATCGTCGTTATAAATAACAAAGAAGATGTCTGTCGTGCTATAGACATCTACATCACTAATAATATGGGATCTGAAGTAGCATTCATTGTCGGGCATGAAAAACAAGAAAAGTAACAGGCTTAGAAATCCACCTTGAAGTACTCCTTTCGTGACACTGAACTCTTTGAATAAACTCGGACACAAGTTTTGCTGATTATAATAAATCTCTTACGATGGACAAAGGCATTATGGTTAATTAGATTATATTAAAGAAATATCAGGGAGAATTATGGAAACAAGTAAAAGATCTGATACAAAAGACGGATTTAAATTTAATTTTATAGTTGTGATAACCCAATCATCCCGCCTTAAATTGACATGTGAAAAAAAAATTGAAGGCCCGCGAAAAATTCAAAAATTCAAAAATTTGGCCTTGGCTGTGATCGTCTAATAAAATGGAACCTTACATTATGCTTTTCAAAAATGGCGGAATGCGTTCAGATGCAAGTGGTGGACCCCAAGTTTGGAAAAGTACCGCTAAAATAAACAGAAATATATGGAGGTCACAAAATTATTTATTCCTCCACTGAAAAAAAAAATTGATCTAAAGAGTTTAGACAGTACTTCCCTCGCTGTCGGGAACGTGACGACTGCAAGCCTGTTATGTCTTTTTTCGTATTACATTTTTGTAATCCTTGATTTAATCAATAAAATTAATTGACTCAGTCATTAATTTTTTTCAGACACCATAATAAGCAAATCTAAAAAATATTAATGCAGTGATAAATCACAAGTATAGACTCATCATTCTTTACACATTTAAGCATTTTTTCAGCAAAATTTTGCGGTGGCGTCATCAAATTTTAGGGGGCGATGAGCAAATACCTACATTTTGATCAAAATTTTACCATGCTTATGATAAATTTAAAACATCTCCAAGATTTCAAAACATTCGGATTTTCAATTCCTGATTAAATCAATAAAATAAATTCACACATTCATTAATTTTTTTGAGTCACCCTGTATATGTAAATCCAGAAAATATAAATGGAATGATAAATCACAACTACAGACTCACCATATTTTGCACATTTAAGATAGGATTTATTGAACAAAATTTTGAGCTGACGTCATCAATTTTTTGGAGGGGATCAGTAAATTTATTTTAAATAAAACTTTATCATGCTTATCATAACTGTAAACCATCTGCAAGATTTCAAAGCATTCGGTTTTGCAGATTCAAAATTAAATGGCAAAATGTTGTTTCATAATTTTGATTTTTTTTTCCAAAAATCTGGACGTTTTGGGTAAAAACTCAATTCGGAGTCATAAAGTACATGTGTAGGACTATGTTATTTTATATAATTTAAAACCCATTTACTATCTACAATTTTGAAATGACGTCATCGCATTAGTGGTGGGGATGATTAGACAAATTTTGGTTAGCGTTTTACCATCTACATGATATTCTTAATATAAGTACAGAATTAAGTACTTTCGGAAATTATCTGTCTGATAAAATCCGGGATGGCAGACAGACGGACAGACAGACGGAAACGGGAGACCTATTTCTTCGTCCTCTTGGGGTTATGAAAGATCGAGAAAATGTAAAAGTAGAGAGTCGGCCGACGGACTCGATTACAATACTTCCTTTGCTTACGCTGCGACCAAGTTGTGCCCGTTGAAGACACCGCTTAATGCTCAGCTACAAAAAAAAATTGCCGAATTTTAAATGCAAAGAATAAAATGCACGTCCTACAATGTTGTTAATTTGTTCAAAGAGATTTTACAGTTCAAACATGTGCTCACTTTGAAAATGCGCTTTCAACATGGCTGCCGCCAGAACAAAGAATTTACGTTATGTTAGTTATGCCACACTTTATCAACGGTTCAAACAAAGAGTTTACATTATGTTAAATTATGCCACGCTTTATCAACGATCCAAACAAAGAATTTACATTATGTTAAATTATGCCACACTTTATCAACGATTCAAACAAAGAAGTTACATTATGTTTAATTATACCATTATCCAAGTGATTAATTACTTAAAACAATTAGCTTTGAGAATTTAAATCGGGAACTGTTCCCAGATTATCCCAAACAAAACACATGACAAATAAACACAAAATGGATCAGGCGTTGCGAGAAAAGCTTCTCGGTGATGTTGCTTTCCACGTTGCGAAAAAATATGTCTCGATGATGTGATGATAATATAATATAATAACGATAATAACTACCTAAAGGAAAAAAATTATAATCCTCCAATACCTCAGTCCACGATATTATGAATTCTACCGTACTTTTACGTTAGGTTATTTTAACTGCCGTAAATGAACTATTAGCAATCTTGTGTGAAGAATTAAGAAGTGTTTAAATGTAGCACTTAAGTATAAGCATCCAGAAACTTATTCATAACTTTGTAAACAAGGGGTGAGTCCTAACTAAGTGAATCTCATGAAATCTCCTAGCAAGTACTTTATCTAAACAAATTTATGACTGTTGAATTGTGCTAGAACCAGTTAACGATTAAAATCCTAACATGAACTGTGAATTTACAAACAATGAATCAGATTTACACTTGTTAGCGTCGGTTGAAAATTCGCCTATTTCTGCTTGAAAAAAACTGCAAGAATTGGTGTTGGGGAAACTGTGGCATCGTCGTCGTTACGATTAATTTTCGTTAAACAAAGGAAAGAAAAGAACTAAACGTGCAAATGGTTGCCTATGTTTAGCAATTTTCTTGTTTGAATTTTTTTTCAGAGCAAAATTTTAATTCAAATTCGGTCACCACACACTTAATCAAAATTAAAATTTATTTTATGGGCACAGTTGTTGCATCTCGAACTGGAGAAAATCTTTAAGTCTGAAACCAATGCTTAATAATAGCCGACATCGGTTTCCCGGTTTCCTAATTAGTTACACGTTGGTTTCACAACAGAGCCGGTACTTATTTTACTGTAAACAGGAACCAACGTCTGCATTTTGCAATTTATTTATGTCAACTCCCATTGTGTACTGCAGCTATTAAAGATTATTGTTGTTACATTTCTTGTTTATCAAACCCACGTTACTCTAGTTGCACGTAGATATCAAATAAAAACCCACCGATTTAATAGTCCCTTTGTTAACGCATATTGACCTACTAACTTGTACATTTATGAGGGGCGATGAGCAGCAAACGTCTTCAAGTTAGCACAGGATGTGTAATCTATTTTTCTCAACTTCGGTTATTCCCAACAAGGAAAGACAAATATTCTTAATAATTAATTTTATTACAGTATTTTAATATCTTACAAGTACATTAACATTAATTTATAATATACATAGTATATTTATATGTACATTTTGAGACAAGATTTAAAAAAGATCAACACGATAGAGACGATTTGAGCCACTGAAAAAATAGTTAATTAATTAATAATAAAAACATCACATGAATCTTACCTCCGCTAAACTTAATTTAACAGTACCATTTTGTAGGGGATCTTTAGTTTTGAAGATATCTACAACGTAATCATTAATAGATTAGTACATAGAATCGTGGTGTCAACTTACTGAAAGCAACAGTCAAATGTAATATGGCAGAAACGAAATCTCCAAAACGCAGAGTACCATCTTTTCTCATATACCTCAAGACAAGTGTTGCTAAAACGTCACTGCTCAACTGAAACCCAACAGCAAGCAAAGCATCACGAAACCGTTCCGCTTTTAAAATCCCGGTCTTCTCCTTTGTGTGATTCTTGAAAGAAGTTTGCCAAAATTTTAAACTACACATCAAGTCCTTGAAATCGCTGAATTTTAATCTACCGGTACCAGACGACTGCAAAGAAAATCAAACAATAAAGCACTGGATAGGTCAGCGTTGTTAGCTTACATCGAACGTGAGTATAACTTGTCTGCAGACTTCAATCGAAGCGCAGCTTTTAATGTAGTCGTTTGGCAAACAAGCGTCCAAGAGCTCTTGCAACTCGAACGCGTTCACTGTCCGATGTTCGTCAGCGAGTTGTAGAAACACGGCTTCGTATTGACTAAAACTTTTGCCGTCCAGTAGTGGTGGTGCTTTGACAATCGCCGACTTTAGCAAGAGAGGAACGGTGTCCAAGAGTTTAAGTTTTAACGGCTTGCATGAGTAAACTCTCAGCGTAAAACCAGATTCTTGACCAGGTTCAAAAATCGTCGGTATGATCAAATAACCGCCTTGTTCCAAGTAACATCTGTAACTCACTTGCCGGCTGTTTGTGTACTGCGAGTTAAATAAAGACTTGTTCGCTTTGAAGAAAGACTTGCCGATGGTCTCCGTGTTGCTTTTTGGTATCGAATATGCGGTAAATCCTATGACTTTGGGTTCCATTATGCTGTGTTGGTTTAGAGAGACCACTACTTCTTCCATTTCGCTTAAGAGTAAGTGAAGTTGCGGGTTTATGTGGAAGGTTTCGGGGTTGTTCCTGCAACCACCAGCAGAGACACCCTTGAGCCAGTTACCCTGATATAGCCTCATTTGCCACGTGTTTTTGTTATGTAAGCTGGGTTCGTCTCGGCTGGTGTCGCTGTCCAGGTGGATGACTTCGAGGTGGGTGAAGGTTTTGATGAAGTCAGGGTAGGACATCCAGAATTCGCCTTCGCCTAGTTTGGTTTGTAGTCGCTCGAGGGAGTTGGGGGAGACTTCGGACCATTCGGGAGAGTCGATGGACCATGGACCGGTGTATTCGGAAGCGGGGCCTAAGGCGTTTCGCATTTTGACTAATTGGACGGCTTCTCCGCTAAAAGTTTCCACCTAAAACAAATTGGAGTCAGTTTTATCATTTGATAAGAGAGAAGATGCAAATTGTAGAAAGTGACTGAATTAGATTTCGAACAAACAGGTGTTTCATATCAGTTGGACACCTGAATTCAATTAAAATTACTACCTCCTTGGATATAAATTGTAAAACAGAGAATCTAAGGGAAACTTGAAAAAAAATGTGTAGAAACAAGAATTTTTAATTTCTGAGCGTAAGCTAACCACAAACAATTTAATCATCTCCAAAATTTACAATAGTAAATTTGTCTTTATTTTTATAAAATAAGATACTCTTGCATTTGTGGTGCATGAATACGTGCTGAATTTTCACCATACACATCCAGATTTTTGGAAAAAAAATGAAAATTGTATAAGAATTTGTATTTAATTTTGAAACTACAAAACCGAGTGCTCTGAAATCTTGCAAACGTTTTAAGGTTATCGTGAACATGGTAAATCGTTAGTCAAAACTACTTATTCGTTTATCCTCTCCTAAACAATTGATGACGTCACCTCAAAATTTTTCCGAATAAATTCACTCCGAAATATGTAAAATATTATGACTCTATACTTGTGGTTAATGCACTCACAGTTTTTAGAATGACTTATCTAGGGTGACTAAAAATATTAATGAATGAAGCACTGAAGCAGTTTATTGTATTAATTAAATCAAAAACAAAATTCGCAAAATCAAATCTTATAATTTTTCGAAAAATCTGGATTTAGGTATACAAATTTCATTCGAGATACACCCACATTAAACTTTATGACAGATAATGAGTGAAACCCCTGCACAATGGCAACAGTAATTTATTGCTTTCAACACCCTATGCGACCAGATATCGGCACGTTCCGGCAGAATTTTTCAGGGCCGTACTCTGTTAAAAAAATATGGTGAAATAATAGACAAATTGTATTAGTCAAATCATATTTATAAGATTATAAGTCACTATAACGACCGACAAGTAAGACGTGAAATCAGTTATTGAAATGAAGAGCAATTCAAATCTACCCAAAGTACCTTTTGGGAATTTGAGTAAACAATTTCATTACCGAAAGCAGGTAAAACTTTCAACTCAACCCGAATACGGCTCTGTATAAAATGACCTGTCAAGCCCTTTTCATAATTTATGGTTGCGGTTTGAGGAGCACCGCTTTTTGAGTGATTGGTCCTATAAAAATTTATGTGGGTGTATCTCGAATACGGTTACTATACCTTCAACCAATTTTTTGGTATCACAATTTTTCGTTTTTTCATTTCCTTTATTTTTTCAATTTTTCAAAATTTCAGTCTTTAATTTTTCAACTGCTCGATTTTGCAATTTTTAAATTTTTCAATTTTGCAATTTTTGGATTTCCAATTATCCGACTTTCCGATTTCTTTAATTTTCAATATTTCGATTTTTAAATTTTTTGTTTCTTCAATTTTTCAAGTTCCTAATTTCCAATTTTTATATTTTTCAAAATTTTTAGTTTTCACTTTTTTCAAGTCTACAATTTTGCAACTTTTCCATTTTTTTTATTCGAAAAGTTGGAAAATCGAGAAAATGAAAAGTTGAAAACCCAAAAATTGTAAAATCAAAAAATTATAGAATCGTCAAAATTGTAAAGTTGATTGAATTATCGAAAAATTGAATATGGAGAAACTGAAATTATTACTACATATTCAACATTAAAACAAATAAAAATTGCAAATCAGAAATTGAAGAAACGAAACACTGAAAAATCGAGAAACTGAAAAATATAAAATTGAAATAAAGAGAAATTATAAAATTAGAACAGAAAAAATAAAGAAAATAAAAAATGAAACGAAAAATTGCGAATCGAAAAATTAAAGAAACGAAAAGTTGAAAAAATAAAGGAAATAAAAAACCAAAACGAAAAATTGCAAAAAATGCTAATTTTTCATTTATTCATTTCCTTTATTTTTTCAATGTTTCTTTCGATTTTATATTTTTACACTTACTCTATTCTTCAAATTTTCAATCTTTGATTTTTCAATTCTTCCATTTTCCAATTTTTATATTTTTCAATTTTGCAATTTTTAGATTTCTGAATTATCCGGTTTTCCGATTTCTTTAATTTTCGATTTTACAACAATTTGTTTTTTCAATTTTGCAGTTTTTCGATTTTTAAGTTTCTCAATTTTTAATCTTTCGATTTTCAAATTTTTGGCTTCTTCAATATTTCAAGTTCTGTTTTCCACTGTTTAGATTGTTCAAAGTTTTCATTTTGTACTTTTTCGTTTTTCCATTTCTGCTTTTTCAATTTTGCAATATTTCCATTTTTTTTAATTCGAAAAGTTGAAAAATTTTAAAATCGAAAAAGTGTAAAATCGAAAAATTGTAAATCGAAGAACTGAGCAAACGAAAAATGGAAACTTCGAAAAACTAAAAATCAAAAAAAATTAATGATCGAAAATTGTAAAGAAGAAAAATCGAATCGAATCGAAAAATTGGGAAACTCAAAAATTGTGAAATCGAAAAATTATAGATCGTCAAAATTGTAAAGTCGAAAAACCGCAATATTGAATTATCGAAAAATTGAAAAATCAGTTAAGAGAAAAATAAAAAAAATGGAAAAGTTTTAAAATCATAAAATTACAAAGTGAACATTTTTAAAAATTATAATTGTTAATACATATTCAAAATTAAAAACTAATAAAAATTGCAAATCAGAAATTAAAGGGACGAAAAATTGAAAAATTGTGATACTGAAAAATATGAAATTAAAAAAAAAAAGAAAAATTATAAAATCACAACAATGAAAAATTGAAAAATAAAGAAAATCAAAACAAAACGAAAAATTGCAATTGGAAAAATTCAAAAAAAGAAAAGTCTAAAAAATAAAGAAAATAAAAAACCAATACAAAAAATTGCAAATATGCAATTTTTTTCTTTTTTTATTCCCTTCATTTTTTCAATGTTTCTTTCGATTTTATAATTTTACGTTTAGTCAATTCTTCAAATTTTTAGTCTTTAATTTTTCATTCCTCGATTTTCCAAGTTTTATATTTTTCAGTTTTGCAATTTTTTGATATCAGAGTTATCCGATTTTCCGATTTCTTTAATTTTCACAACAACTTGTTTTTTCGATTTTGCATTCTTTCGATTTTTAAGTTTTTCAATTTTTAATCTTTCGATTTTCAAATTTTTGGTTTCTTCAATTTTTCAAGGTCTTGTTTTCCACTGTTTAGATTTTTCAAAGTTTTCATTTGATACTTTTTTGTTTGTCATTTCTTATTTTTCAATTTTATGATTTTGCAATTTTTCCATTTTTGTTTTATTTAAAAAGATGAAAAGTCCAAAAATTGAATGTCGAAAAACTAAAAATTGGAAAAAATTGAAAAATCGAAAAACTGAAAAGAAAAAATCGAAAAAGTGTAAAATAGAAAAGTTGTAAATTGAAGATCTGAAGAAACGACAAATTGTAACATTGAAAAACTCAAAAAAATCGAAAAAAATTAACGATCGACAAATTGAAAAGAAGAAAAATCGAATCAAATCGAAAAAACTGGAAAACTCAAAAATTGTGAAATCGAAACATTATTATCGAAAAATTGAAAAATCGAATAAATGAAAGAGTTTTAAAATTCAATAAAAAAATGGAAAAGTTTTAAAATAGTAGGATGAAAAAGTGAAAATTTTTTAAAATTATATTTATTAGTTACACATTCAAAATTAAAACAAGTAAAAATTGCAAATCAGAAATTGAAGAAACGAAACATTGAAAAATCGACTGATAAATATAGAAGTAAAAAAAGAAAAATTATAAAATCAGAACATTAATAAAGTTGAAAAAATGAAGAAAATAAGAACCAAAATGGAACATTGCAGTCTGCGAATTTTTCATTTTTTCAGTTCCTTTATTTTTTCATTGTTTCTTGCGATTTTATGATTTTACGTTTATTCAATTCTTCAAATTTTCAGTCTTTGATTTTTCAATTCCTTGATTTTACAATTTTAAAATTTTTCAATATTGCAATTTTTGGATTTCCATTTATCCCATTTTCCGATTTCTTTCATTTTCAATATTTCGATTTTTCAATTTTTCGTTTCTTCAATTTTTAAAATTTTTAATTTCCAATTTTTAGATTTTTCAAAGTTTTTATTTTTCATTTTTGATTTTTGAATTTTACAATTTTGCAATTTTTCAATTTTTTTTATTCGAAAATTGAAAAACTAAAAAACGGAGAAAACTGAATAATCGAAAAAATTAAAAATTGCAACATGGAAAAACTGAAAATCGAAGAACTGAAGAAACGAAAAATTGAAACATTGAAAAACTAAAAATCGAAAAAATTAATGAACGAAAAATGGAATAGAATTGAAAAATTGGAAAACCCAAAAATATTTCGAGTTCACAAAATTTGTTTTTTCGATTTTGCAGTTTTTCGATTTTTAAGTTTCTCAATTTTTAATCTTTAGATTTTCAAATTTTTGGTTTCTTCAATTTTTCAAGTTCTTGTTTTCCACTATTTCAATTTTTCAAAGTTTTCATTTGATTCTTTTTTGTTTTTCCATTTCTTATTGTTAAAAAATCCAAAAATTAAAAATTGTAACGGAACTTAGTTTTAAAAAGAGAAGAGTGGGCTGGAAAAAAAGTGTTGGTGTTGACAGATAGAAAATATTATCTGAATGTGTAATTTTGTTGATTTTGTACATTTAAATAAAAGAATAATATTATAAAATCGAAAAACTGAAAATCGGAAAAAATTGAAAAATCGAAAAACTGAAAAAACTAATAATTGCAAAATCTAAAAAGTGGGGAATCGAAAAATTGCAAACCGATAAACTGAGGAAACGAAAATTCGAAAACACTGAAAAACCAAAAATCGAGAAACTTAAAAATCGAAAAACTGGAACGAAGAATAAACGAATCGAATCGAAAAATTAGAAAACTAGAAATTGTAGAATCGAAAAATTATAAGATCGTCAAAATTGTAAAGTCGGAAAACTTAACATTCAAAGATCAATCTAAAATCATATAATTGTAAAAGTGAAATATTTTAAAATTTACAATTACTATTAGACACATTACATATAAAAGGAAAAATTGGAAAAATTCCAGATCAAGAATTGAAGAGACGAAAAATTGAAAAATCGAAAAGTTAAAAACCGAAAAATTTGAAACTAAAAAATTGCAGAAACGAAAAATTGAAAGAATTGAAATTGAAAAAATAAAAAATTATAAAATCGGAAAAGTTAAAAACCAAAACATTGTAAAATAAGGAAAATAAAAAACCGAAATGGAAAATTGCAAATCTAAATTTTGAATAATTGAAAGATTAAAAAATCGAAAAATTGCAAAATCTAAAAATTGAAGAAACAAGAAAAATGAAAAATTAAACAGTAGCAAATCGAGAAACTGAAGGAACGAAAAATTGAAAAAATAAAAATTGCCAAAAAGAAAATAAAATTCCGAAACGAAAAATTCAAAATTCAAAAGTTGGAAAATTGAAAAATCGAACAATTTATGCTTGATATTAATTAGAAAAGGAGTAAATCGAAAAACCGAGGAAACAAAAAAAAAATAAAAATTGAAGAAGTGAAAAATTCAAGTCAAAAAAGCTGTTATTTACACCAGTAGTTTTTACTTTATAGATGGTATTAAAAACAAAAATCGTAATTTTTTTTTAGAATATTTCAAAGGATTTATTAGGCTGAGGGAATTTCTATCGAAATAACTCTTGACTAATTTTATCTAAAACTTTTCGTGTTTTTTGACTAATGAACTGATTAAAATCCAAGTTTTTAGAAAACTTACTATTCATCCCCTCGCTAAACCTGTTAATTTAATTAATTAAAATTTAAATCATTTTGCAGTCGTCGAAGAAAATACTGAGTGTGAAGATAACACATTTAAAACTAAAACTGCTTGCTACGGAAATAATTGCTGATAAAATCTTTACCATGGTCGATATCGACCATTAAAGCAATCTTCTCTCATGAAACCGGTACTAAATCGTCTTGGGAAATAGAAAAAATGTAAATTATGTAATCACATTAACTAAATCAAATTAATTGCATTGATGATTATTATTCACAGAGCTGTTATATTTTTATGCATTACTGAATTCCAGGTTGTTAATTCTTAGTACGTCATGTATGACGTACTTACAGTGAAGAGTGAAATTTAAAAACATTTTTACGCTCAGACTCACATATGGTATAATAATATATATTTAGTCTCCCATACCCTTTCCACTGAATATATTCTATAATTCGTTCCTAACTGCACTCCATTTGGCAACTTTTCGACACTAGACCTCGTCTGGAAATTCGGCGGTTGTACCGTACAGGTGATAATCGACGTCATATCTAACAACTTATGTAAGAGTCTGGCACATGTGGTGGCATCCTGTCTGATGAGGATGCTTTCGGTGATCCCCCCAGTCAAGTCCGCTAGACCATCCAGAAGAGAACCATACTTTAATGCTTCATAGGATCCATGCAATCTGCACAAGAAAGAAAAATAGTTAAGATCATTGATGCATCCTTCTGCAAGAAAACTGTTTTATGACAATAGAATACATAGCCGAATGTTTCGGTTCATTTAATCTTTTCATGGGAAACTGCTACTTGAACGGTAACGTTGCCCGTTGATAAAATTAAAACTATTATAACATAGCGCTAAATTTAATTTCAATTGTACAACAAATCGTAATGATGCTGTTGAGAAAGATGGTTTTTTCGTCACACTTTGTAATGTGGGCAGATTAGAATATAACACAATCCAACAAAATGTTCCACTTTGTAAGTAGGCGACATAAATAATGTTATCAATGTCTGGTGTTGTATAATAAGGGGCTTGCCTTGCAGAACAGGTGATTTAGAAAGTTGTGGCCATTTTATTAAGGAAGAAATGAGAAAATCATCGATGATAAAAATGGAAAATCAAAATGAGAAGCAATATCTTAGACGATTATTATTAATAGACCATAATTTCATGACAGAACGATGATAATCGCCCAAGTCTGAAGTCACTGATCGACTTTTTTTAATCGTAAATCGAGTTTATCCACAACACGTACAAGAAACTCGCGCAATTATGGTCCATATTTTCCATTTTAGTATTTTAATATTTAGCAGAAACAGGGTTTAGAATTTTTATCCTTGATTTAGGGATTTCTTTAGAAAGTGTCTTCAGTGTTTTTTTGTCTTTATTCCAAATCATAATGACACAGCCTCAACAACAACCAAGTTGCGTAACACCGGGCCTTCTATTGCAATTTTAATTAAAATATTTTTAGAACAAACGCAGTAAACGGTTAAATTTCAGGGTTAACTTTTTCGATGAATTGTGGTTAGCCGCAACCTTTTTATTTTGTACCTGAATTAGTTCATATTATTATAGTGTTCAAAGAAGTTTAAATTATTTATAAATAACACTGAAAAACCTTTGTTGAATTATTTGGAAACGGATATCGAACATTTTGTTCCGCATAAGTGAGAATAGTTAACAAGTTTCTATAAAACGTGGTGAAGATACGTATGAGAAAGAAAAAGACAACAGCAAGATAATTTGAAATTATGGCAGGAAATTGTGTTCATGTTTGTGGTCTGAAGAAACTTAAATTCGAAAACTGTAAAACTGCATGTTTTTGCTCAGGTTTTGTTATAAAGGAGAGAATATGTAAATATGGATAAAATTTCCAAAACCAAAGTCTGACATTTCGGTATGTTTATCTGTGAATTTTAAAGAATAAAGTATGTACGTGGTTAAATATTTTTTATCTAGGTACATATAAACCCTATAACTAAAGCGTTTTTGAATTGAATGTTGTTTCACATGTACATTTGATTTTCTTAAATAAAAAACAAGCTATTTTGACAATCTTAACCAAAAAAACCTTGCCTGATTGTTAGTCAAAATGTTTTTATGTATCGTTATATTTTGATAAAAAACTAAACAATGTGTTTAAATTATTTTGGCAATTTAAAAAAAAGATAAGATAGTTAAGTATGGTAGGTACATAATAAGAAAGTGTACATATAACACCTCCCCTTTCCCAAATATTACTTAGTACTGCATCTTTATTTTACAAACAATTAGTAATGTATGTGTTATAAAGACACAAACATTCTTAGTTCAATTTTTTAATCTTCTAAAATCAGGTAAGGGTTGCAAACATGCCATTTTTCAATGCATCAGCACACAAATAAATCTAAGGGCATTAAATATGGACTGCGAGCTGGCAATCGAGTAGGACCACTATTGCATTTCCAATTTTCACAATAAATGTTTTTTAGAGGCAGGAAAGAAATATTATAATACTTAAAGATTTCTCATATTCAAATTTAACAGTAGTAGGAATCATATTTGTAGTGTACCAAATTAGGCTAATAGCGATGGTGTTTACGGAATTTCAATATTTCTATCGGTTTTCAAGATATAAGGCCGCGGAGTTTTATCTGGGACATCTGTATAGTCAAATTTTGTAGATTATTTTAGGGATATTAAACAACAAACTTCTTGTAATACTAAAGTCGATGCAGCGGTTATAGGACATTCATTAAATTAAAACAACGAGAACGAACGGAACTGCAGTTATTTAATTAAGACGATTTTCCTATTTTTGATTTGATTACAAAATTTAAAAAAATGGCTAAGATAAGACTGATGGGGCACATTACATACCCCCTAAGAAAATACAGCACGGGTGGGCACAATAGCTAGTACTTGTTAAGATAAGATTTTTGGTAAATGACTGAACAATTTTAAGAATAATCACTGGAATGAAGAGGGGGTGGGTGGGCGTTGCTATTGCTTGCTTATAAAAGATTTTGCATAAAAAAGTTAAAGTTAGCCCCGCCCACCCACCCGTTCTTTAATTTTTTTCTTCACAAATAAAAAATAAATGTTATGGCAAATAAGTAGTACATATAACAAAAAAATTACAATTAACGCTTTTTTTAACAGCCTTAGTTCCCATTCTCACTTTACAATAGAACATATAATTCACCCCACCCACCCACCCCGCCTTCATTTTAGTGATTCATTTTGTCTAGTCCGAATTAAAGCTGGATGTCAACTGAAGAAAGATCAAAATCGTTGTAATGAGAACAGCGTGAATGGGCGGGGCTAGTACTTGCTAAGATAAGATTGATTTTGGTAAATGACATATCTTCTAAGAAAAAACAGGGTGGGTGGGCGGGGCTAAAACTTGCTAAGCTAGGATTGAACAATATTAAGAGTAGTCACTGGAACGAAGAAGGAGTGGGTGGGCGGGGCTACTGCTTGTTCACAAAACTAGAAAAAAGCTAAATTTAGTCCCACCCACGTCCTTTCTCTATTTCACTGACTTATTTTATTTAGTGTAAAATGGAAATTGAAAAACAACCATGTTGTATTTCCAAAATTTTCTGGGAAAATGGAGTGAGTCGTTCCTGATTTAATCAATAAAACAAATTGACTCATCATATTTTCGACATTTTAGATAGGATTTATTGTCAATTTTTTGGACGGGATAAGCAAATATATTTTAATTAAAAATTTATTATGATTATCATAACTTTAAAACATCTGCAAGATTTCAAAGCATTTAGTTTGATAGATTCAAAATTACACGTAAATTCCAAAATGTTGTGATATAATTGCCCTTTTTTTTTTCTAAATATGTGTAGTCATCTTTTCACAAGAAGAAACTTAAAATATGTTTAAAATGGTAAATTTGTATAGGTAAATCTCGATTTTAGAATTAAGCTCCACCCCTCGGCTTAAGACCAATAAAAAAATCGTCAGAATCGAGACAGAGCTGGTGGGCGGGCTTATATTTTGCCTTTTGTTTTCTTAATATACATAGTATTCTTTGAACAACACGATACTCAAAAACATCTTTTTATTTCCTGTAGAGAAATAACGATTTTGCAATTAAGCTCCTCCCCTTGGCTCACGACGAATAAATAAATCATCAGAATTGAGATAGGGCGGGTGGGCGAGTCTTACATTTTGTCTTTTTTTCTAAATATGTGTACTGTTTAGTCATCTTTTCACAACAAGAAACTTAAAACATTTTTAGAATAGTAAATTTGTATAATAGGTGATATCGATTTTGTAATTACGCACCGCCCCTCGGTCTGACAACGAATGAAAAATTCATCACGAATGAGATCGAGACGGATAGGTGGGGCTTCTCTTTTGGTTTTCTTTTTTAATTAATACATTTAGTTTCCTTTGTATAACACGATTACTTAAGAACATATTTCACATTTCAAAAAAATATCAGAATTGTGATAGGGCGGAAGGGCGGGGCTTATATTTTGCCTCTTTTTTTCCTTATATACATGGCCATCTTTTTACAACAATAAACTTAAAATATGGTTAAAATGGTAACTTTTTGCAAGGAAATATGGATTTTGCAGTTATGGGGCGGAGCCTAATTGCAAAATTGAAATTTCCTTATACAAATTTGCCATTTTAAACATGTTTTAAGTTTCATGTTGTGAAAAGAAGTCTACACATATTAAACATGGAAAATCATGGAATTGAAAAATCAAAGCCTGAAAATTTGAAAAACTGAATAAACAAAAAATTGTAAATCGAAAGAAACAACAAAAAAATAAAGGAAATAAAGAAACCAAAAATTGTGATATAAAATCGAGAAACGTCGAGAAAACATAAAATTAGTCATTCGCCAGTTGGATCTCTTTATACTGCGTTATCAGCAAAAAATCTCTAAATCGATTTTTTTTTAATTCCATCAATATTTTCTATTTTGACAAAATAACGAAAGAATCGAAACTTGGATAAATTAAAACTCAAATCGTACTTACCCTTTTTTTCACAAAAATTTATTAACAGTAAATTAAAAATTCGCGAACATAATATTTTTAGGCCGAAACGGGGCTACGAGTACTCAGATGAGACAACTTGTATCGGGGTCTGTAAATGGGTGTTTTAATTATTATAAAACGTACCTACGTACTTAGCTGTGTAGGACTATGTTATTTTATACAATTTAAAACTCATTTACTCTGTATAATTTTGAAGTGACATCATCGTATTATTGGTGTTAATAATCAGACAAATTTTGGTTAGCGTTTTATCATCTACCTACTTGATATTCTTAATATAAATACAAAATTTGACAACAATCGGCCCAGTAGTTTCGGAGATTATCTGTCCGGGACGGCAGACAGACGTACAGACGAACAGACAGACAAACAGACGGAAACGGGAGACCTATTTATTCGTTCTCTAGAGGTCATGAAAGGTCGAAAAAACGTAGACGGACTCAATTACAATACTTCCTTCGCTTACGCTCGGGACGTAAAAATATACATATTTTAATAAAAAAAAACGCTGCTAGACCATAAAATTTATTTTTAAAGTAATGATGTTGACAACACCAACGCGTTCCTTGTTTAGTTCAACAGTTACGGTCAAATAACTGTCAAATAAAGTGTCAAATAGCTGCGATGCCAACATTATTATTTTATAAATAAATTTCAAAGCCCACTAGAGGATTTTACATCGATCATATGGTAGGTGTATTTATTTAATGGAAAACATAAGCATACAATTGAGATGCGGTATTGCTTTTGTTCCAAGAATGTCTTGATTCGTTATTTTTTTATTTGTTTATTTTTTTATTTAAAATACCACAGGTAACATATTTGTCCTCACTAAAAAGTTATTGACGTCATCTTTAATCTTTAATTTTTCCACCTACACAGAAACTTAAGAACGACCACAAATATCTGTGTTAAAACTTTAACAACCAAAAATTAAAAAAAAAGATTCTCACTTTAGAATTGTCGTAATTTTGTTTAGCAATTGTGTAAAAATGGAATTTTTTAGTGATTTTTTAAATATTTCAAGTACAGAGCAAGATAAAGTAGTACCGTTGTTTGATTATGATTAGCATACATTCAAATTATTTTCGACCATACAGAGTGTTTTGTCTTTCTGACATAGCACATAACTTTAAGTTTTTTTTTTTTTAAGTAGAACACCCTATTTATTTTACATATTCTCATTAACCTTTCCCTACATTCAGCTACCACGTTGCCACGTTATTCCAGTTTTCTTGACTTTTTTTGGAAATGCAAGATTTCACAAAAAATCCCAGTTTTATTATTTATATTCCAATATATTATGCAGAGATAATCGTACGTGTTTTATTGTGGTAACATTAAATTCAGTTTTAATGTACAGTGTTTATAAAAATAAACTAAAACGCTACAATTTTCAAGTGTCTGGTTTTCAGTTTTTTTCAAATAGAACACTCTATATTTTATTATGGTATCTTACTGTATATCGTGTTATCTTTCTATAGATATGTGGATCTGTCTCTTAAAAAAATAAAAAATCGCAGTAACTACCAAGTTTAAATATAGGAAATACTTAATACAGAATGTTCTATTTGAAAAAATACTCAAATCTCGATATTTAAAAATTGTTTTTTTTTATAATATGTATAATAAGACTCGGTTTTATTATACCACAACAAAGTGCGTAACTTTATTTATATCTCCACCAAATATTTCTATTTTAATTGTAATCGAATCTATCGGCCGATTGGCTACTTTCAAATTTTTTCTATGTGTCACAACTCCAAAAGTACGAAAAAATAGGTCTCCCGTTTCCATCCGTCTGTCTGTATGTCTGTCTGTCTGTTCGTTATCGTTAATATGGTAAATTTTCAATCAAAATGAAACATATTTGGTTGTCATCTCAAAATTTTGTCGAATAAATTATATCTAAAATGTGTAAAATATAATGAGTCTATACTTGTGATTTATCAATACGTCCATATTTTTTAGAATTGTTTATACAGAGTGATTAAAAAAAAATAATAAATGAATATACAGCGTATTATTGAAAGGTTCGTACAAAATAAAATCGGCAATTGGTCTCGAAGTATGAGTCCTAAAAGTAAAAAAAAGTTCAGGTAAAAGTGTTGTCCTTTTAGAGATAAAAAATATTAAAATTTATGTCCAAATTGGTTGTACGCCTCTGATAAAAAGATGATCTTTCGTTTCTCTAGCAACATTTAGTCTTGACAAAAATTTAATTGTTACACTTGCTAGGATTTATTAAAATAATAATTAATTTTACCTGTTTATCCTTCAGTAGCGTCTGAAAAGGTTGGATAAGGGTTAATTTTCCCCTTATAATTTTGATAACACAAAATAAGTTTTTCAGACTTCTTTGACTTCGCGAATAACTGTCAATTTTGTTGTACGTACCTTTCAATAACACACTGTATAATTATATTAATAAATAAATATATCTTTTTATCCCCCACAAAAATATTGATGACGACATTGTGTTTACCTTTTTTTTTATTTCTAATAATAACAACTAATGAGATATCGAGAAGCGATTGACTCACCTTGTATATACATATAAGCCTTTGAAATCCTGTTATCAACGTTGGGTTGGGTATAATTTATTAATTTAAACATATACAAAATAGCGCGTTGTCTTGCGAAAATTTGAGGGAATTAATAATGAATTAAATGGTCCATATATTACATCTACATGTTGTGAGACATCCTGTACAAGCGCTTATCAAAAATAAAAGCCCGACTGACAAAGAAATGGCACATCTAGAACACATTTTTAATGATGATTTGTTGAATAATTTTTGCAAATTTAAGGAATTTTTTGGAAGCAAGCAGTATTATTAAATGATTTAATTTCTTAAGTCCTTAAAAGCTAAAATAATTTATAAAAGTTCAGGTGAAGAAACATGTACTGGTGTTAATCTCAAGTGAGATTTATTTCATTTTTAAAATGACGTCATCGTTTTCCTGGAGGACATAAAATATATTGTGTTTGGTTTTACAATGCTTGTGTTAATTTTGAATTAGAGACAAAATTTGAAAGTGTTCGGTTCCGTAATAAAGTTAGGCATTCGTTAAATTAACCTTATTTTAACATTTCTTTGGCTGTTGCTCGATTGGGAAATAAAAATGTGAATTTTATGACTGCCGTCAAACAACAGTTTCGCCTTACTTCCAAAGTTATATTTTACAAATACTTATTTCACAATGCTAAGAACATCCAAATTTTTAAATAGTTAATTCATATCAAAAATTCTTAGATTTTTTTAGTTTGGAAGATTTTGAAAATTTAGATTTTTGTACAGAGATACTCAAAAAATAATTGAAATATTTAATTTGTTTAAAAATATACAAGCTTTATTAACTAATACTTGTCGTAGATACTTAATTTTTTAGATTAAGTACAGCATTCTGTAAAAAAAACCGCTACTTTTCGTATGGATTCAGTCAATTACTTTTGCACTCGTGCACTAAATATTCTGTCGTCTAGAGGTAAAATCCATTATTTTGTTGGTGTTACAAATGTTTTCTTTTAGCAAAATTGTGGCATGGTAATTACGAAAACCAGCCGCACAAATACATAACGGATTCATACTCAACATTGTAATGCCTACCTACTTGTTGCATCTTCGTTGAATAGTGCTCTAGTTTTCTTTCATTCAGGAGTAGATACAGTTTGAATTTCCGTTATGTATAAGCAGCACAACATATGTGTCGGTAGAGTACCTAATTAATGTGAGATACTGGAATGTTCTCCTCTTTTTATACAAACATAATCTCTCGCGAAACCCGTTAAATTAATGTATTAAGAAAAGTTTTCATAATTAGGTTTATGAAATTTTATACCTTTTTTGCAGACTTCTGTTATATTTTGACACAAATTGATGCGCACTCAACTAGAATGACTTTTACTTTTACCAAGTCGACCAGTTATACAGGAAAATTAACTAAAGCAGACATGAAGTTATGTAACAAAGATTGTGTTAATCACCAAGAAAAAAGACTACAAGATCTGCTGGTCATTTTATCGAAATTGTATTTTTGTAATCTACAAAAAATACAACTATCAGAGAGATGAATTCTTTGACATTTGTGTCCTTTAAAACGAAGGTTACATATTGTCAAATCAAGCTACCTTGATCTGGTGTGGGATTATGACAGCTGAAAGTCATTCACCTCACCTGAACTATTCAGATCAAGTGTGCTGTGCTTCCGTCCTGTCATTTTTGACATTTAAAATTATAATGTTATTATATAAAGCAGAATTGATCTGAGCGTAATTTTCAAATTACGTCATGGCTAATTTTTTACTTACTTGGCGTACGCTTTCTCGAGCAGTCCTGGCCAAAAATAGTCAGAATTTTGCGACTGCAGGAAAGCCAGCCGCCCATGCACAGTAGGTAGACGGTCATCCACCAGAACCTCGGTCCATTCGCCGCACCACCATAGACGAAATCGAAAGACTCCGGCATATTGCTCTCCATTAAAAGACTGGTCTGCCGGCACGACTCGGTAGAAAAGTCCTTTATTTAAATATAAAACTCCCAAACAGGAGACAAGCCATCTGTCACCTGCAAAACGAGAAACAAATCTTATCTTTAATGCTGTTTATGACCACGGAATTAGGTGGGTGTTGAACAGGTAGGCAATTTCACGAGATGATCGTCTCCGAATGTGAAAATGGATTGGATGCATCTGCTGGGAAGGTTGACTATGATGAGATATTTCTTTACTGATAACGATTTTGAAAGTTAAGAAAGCGCCATTTTCGGAAATAAGACTTTCTTAAAATAACAGATGCGGACGATAATTGCTACACTTTCTGTATCAAGTTGGTTCGTTTATTGAGCTATTAAACTCGATATTTAAATGACAAAATCCGCAAATTGATTCGAAAGGAATCTTTATTGTCTCTGTGAATTATAAAATAAATAAAGCAATACTACGTCTTGACGCGTATTTTTCAGTAAAGAATTCTTTTTGAGATGATGTTATAACTTTGTGGTTTTTGACTTTGAAATGTGCGGTAACACTAATCGTAACATTAAAGTTTTCTCAAAATTCGCGAATGTTCTGTTCTCACTCAGTCAGTATTAGAATTTAGAAACATTTTCGAAAAATTTTGTATGTTATAAACCATACAATTTTGATGGTGTATGTATTTTTTCAGAATAACTAGATCTTTAAAGTTAAAATAGAGTGGATTAGACCATAGACGTAGCACATAAGAATAAGTTTAAAATTTCAAAATAATGAGGTTTATTTTTTACAGTTTATCTCTAAATTGTAGTCAAATACTAACACTGATTTCATGGTTACAGAACGTATTAGAATGTATTCATTTTCTCTTTTTAAGTTGATAAGGTTATAATAAAATATATGAAATAATGCTTAGCAAAAGAAAATATTTGAAGACAAATTTATTTTATTATTTTATTTATTTTAATACAGAAATTATTTAAATAATTTCTCGAAATTTTCAATGTAATATTATGATTACTGCTACCAGTCGCACATATAAAAATATTTAGGGATTATTAATAATGGGTGTTGTATTAGTTTTACCTTTTGTAGCTGACTGTACATCGCTGAATGTCTGCGAATCTGAATTGAAAAAAAAATAAATTTTAGAGCACGTCCACAGAAGTCATTTTAACTTTTTGAAACGTTTTAAATTTAAAGTTGACTAACTAATACACCCTAATCTAGCGTCAAAATTTCTTTTAATGTCAATTATGGTGTCAAAGAAAACTCTAAAACGAAGTATTTTCGCTTCGTATTGCTCTACTGATGGCTTACTTGTGTTTGCAGTGTTAACTACTGGGTAAATAATTTTAATAAATGATGGGAGTTCGTTACACTGAAGTTCCACTGTATTTAATTAAAATTCCACCAACATATTTGTGTACTCTCTTCCTGTATGAATGTGGTTAACATTTTAAATGATAAATTGTAAACGTATTCGTTGATGATTTAAAAGACGTCAATGTTTGTGTATACCGTGAATTTTTGAAAAAACCAACGCTACAAGACAATAAACAAATTTAAAGAAACTGCCATGGTCACATTATATTAATAAGAGTTTATCAATTATTTTATAATGGAAAGTCGTAACCTTCTATTAAATTTTTTTTCTTTGGCTAACAATTACAGGAAATAATAGACTGGAAGTTATACATGTGGAGAAATGTATTAGCAAATATATTTAATGTTGAAAAAGATTAGTGGACGACTAGAAGGACGAAAATGGAAACACGATAATAGAAAAAAAAGGGGGGTAATAATCGTACCTATCGCTAAAGGTAAAAAATTAAATTTGAAATTATTTTGCATTGACTGTTGATAAAAAGCTCTAAGATCTTTTAGACTATTTTCGCAATTAAGAATGTAACTGTTTTCGTTTTAGTAGTTTTGGAATTTTTAATATTAATTTATCCATTGAGTGGTTCAGAAAATAATTTTAGAAAATGTTTATAGGTGTTCAATTAGAGTTAGTAATAATAATCACTTCATTGTAAAATTATTTAATAATAAATTGTATTATTACTATTATTAAAACAATATAACTCTGGTCCATGGTCATATCTCGTTACACTGGTACCTGGAGTGCCTTAATCCCTCGCCTTAACTTCTGTACAAACTGATAAGAGATTGTAAATTTTGTATAAATTTTAGGTCTCCCTTTTTAAATTTCAATTTTAAAATCCAGGATATTAGACAACGTCAGAATTTTATATCGCAAATAGTTTTGCAGTATAATAAAACTGGACACAATTTTGTAAAATATGTCTCATAATAACAGAATTGTGTTATAATTTATAACAAATTTTGTAACTTCATATTTGTCGGACTGGAGTTAAGGTACGAAGATTAGTGAACGCCCGACCTGGACCGGAGTTGAGGTTCTCCGAAAAAAATTATGTCTGACAAAATTTGTATCTTGTAGAAAATTAATAATGTCTTTGAAAAAGATGTAGTAAAATTACCTTATACAAATCTTGAATTTTTCAAAACATCTAAAAGTATTGTCATAACTGTATTCAATTTTTTCGTTTTTATTTTCTAAACGTAAGCTAGGGAAATAATGAAATCAATTTGACGAATAGACATTTTCATTTTTCGACGTTTGTCTTGTACAATACAAAATTGTAGGTGTTTTGTTTTTCCGATTTTATTAAACACGCAGTCTCCGAAACTATTGGTACGATTACGATACTTCTATACTTCTGGTTTATTAATCCGTCTTTATTTCTTACCTTCTACACGTCTAGATTTTGGGAAAAAAATGTACAAGATAAAACCTACTGCTCCAAAAATTCTTAGATGCCTTAAGGTAATTCTAAAATTTTGCAAAATATGATGCGTTTCCTCTTGCAGTTTCAGTTCAAAACTGTACAACAAAACTTTACAATATATCTTAGAAACTACTAAATTAATTGTTCTGAAAATTAACACATGCTTTGAGGTTGTTGTCAGCTTGATAAAGATCGATTTATAAAAACCCACCAAAATATTGATGACGTCACCTCCAAAGTTTACTAAATAATCCTATTTAAAATCTGTAAAATAATATGCGTTTATGTGTACGATTTATTAAACCACCTATATGTATTAAAAAAAAAAAATGTTGCCAATCTGGATGAGAAATAGATCCTTACATGGGATACTTATTCTTATTAAAAATTGATCTAAGGTTATTTAGACAAAATTTCCCTCGCCTTTAAATCGAACAAATCCAGTTTTTTCGAAAAATTATAAAATTTGATTTTGCAAAATTTGGCAACAATCGGTCTAATAGTTTCCATGATTGTCTGTCTAATGAAAATTGACGCAGACAGGCAGAGAGACAGATGACAGACAGACAAACGGGCGCGGGAGGCCTACATCGTACTCTAGACGCCATGAAACGTCGAAAAAAAACTAGCCATGCACGCTTATGCTTGGGAAATCAATAGTATAAGACTATGATTTTTTACTATATCCAAATAATTTTTTTGATACACATATTTTTCAAAATTAATACTGCATATTATAAATTAATCCAGTAAAGTCCAGCAAAATATAAACGCCGTCAATTATTTTATGAAAGGTATTTAGCGCATTAGAAATGCATTTACTAGAGAACAAATACGGTCCTGCAAAAGTACAAGGGTAGCGACTAATTTTAATTGACGGCTTCGTAAGCGACTGGAGATTTTACAACGGCAGTACTCATAATTGGAGTCGTTTGCAGTTATCTTTTGCTGGACTTTACATCTCACTAAATATCAAATCATTTTACTAACATTCAGTTTTCAGTTGTGAAAAACATTTCCAAAAATACCAATCAATTACTATATAAATATATTAGCCCTTAAGGAAGTCTAGTAGTTTATTTTTAAAAATAAAGTGCGTTAATAGAACTGATGTAATTTGCCTTAAAAGATTGGTAGTCGCTACAAATGTCACTGTCAAATAACAAATAAGATAAACCTTAAAAGAACGAAACTATATTTTTAAGTAGAATTAAATTTTACGGTGAAGTGTACTACTGTACATTATTCGTAGCATTGATTATAGTTTGGGTACTTAGATTATCCCAGACAAAATAATTGTCATAATATTTTGATGAAAATTACATGATTCATCTAACTGCACCTGTGTAGCTCTGGAACATCCAGACTAGTTTAGATTTATTATAAACTGCAGATATCGGGTATTGCTTTGATTGTCTTCGGCTTTATACTTTGTTAATAATAATTTATTATTGTGAAAATTAACTTCAAGTGTTACAACCTGACATTTGTCGTACCAACTACGACAAAATTCCCCATTTTTTTTTAATTCCAATTTTTATTTTAATATGGAATTACATGTTTCATAAGATATTTTGGAGCACTTATGTCTTGGAAAACTCGTTTTCTAATTTTAGGATCCCTAATCTAAAATACTTAAAGAGACTAACATTCACTTATTCTCTCGACCAGCTAACCCTAACTGAAGTTGGACATGCTTGTCTATGTTTAACCCTTTTCTTAATTTATTACTTCCCGAGCATAAGCGAAAGAAGTATAGTAATCGAGTCCATGGGACGAATGGCCACTTTTATATTTTCTCGACGTTTCATGACCCCTACAGTACGAAAAAAGTAGTCTCCCGTTTCCGTTCGTCTGTCTGTCTGTCTGTATCCATTTTTATTAGACATGTAATCTCCGACACTGCTGCCAGAAAATTTTGAGAATACAATACTGTTATTTTTAGTATTACACTGCTCCAATCCAAGCTGATATACGTGTCCTTGCAAAAATGTTGATGACGTCATCGCAAAATTGTGTAAAGAAAAAACTTAATTCGAAAATGCTAGATGTTTCATTGCACTTCAGAAGCGAGGGAAGTTCTGTCGATACAACTTTCGACCATTTTTTTTTTAATATAGATACTATTTGATATTTGAAACTTCTAAAAAACAGTGAAACCTTTTTGCTTTCGTCAAGAAGGAGTGAAATAACAAGAAAATAACCTTATTGCTTTCATGACACTGGTATCTATTGAACCACGTAAAGAGCTACGTGTGAGGTCTTTCGCTCAGCACATAAACAACACATTTGAAAAGAAAAAAGTCACTGTGTTCTTTGTTTATAAAAATTGATCGAACGAAGGTAGTACATTAAAAAAATAATATGAAAAAATATAGAAAAGTAGGAAGAGAGTTGAGCACATATTCTTAAAAACAGTTATTAGTTATTCGAAGCTCTTTAATTTTAAAATCCTCTGGTTTCAAAATAACGAATGTTGTGTTATACAGTCAAGAATGAAGATATTATTAAAATATTTAATAATAATAGACTCGTTAGTTTAATAACAGTTTATAACTTATTGCTCATAAAAATCACTGTTCCGGTAAAAACACGAAACAAAAACACTTTCGCTATATACATGTCTATGCTCCCTCAAGCGTAATCTTGGTTGAATCAAATTACATTCGTTACGTTCTATAAATTGAAAATAAAACCAACACCGATCATAATTATACCATAAATATAATACCGCTTTTCGTTTTCGATTTCATAATCGCATACTCCTCTTATGAAAAAAAACCAAAAACAAATTCGTTAAATTGATAATCACAGTCCACAAATAATACACTCCCGGTTTTCCTTATAGAAAGCACGGCGATCTGATTAAAGCCCAGCTCAATGTGTTATTTTAATGGAACAAAAAGAGCAAATAATAATTGCTGCAGAGCAGCCGGATAGAGCTTACTTCTAAGAAACTAGTTTGATTTCATCCTGGCGATAAGATAGATGCTCTGTGTAATTATCTTTTTTTTAATCTACCTGCGTGTACAAAGATATAATTCTTCATTACTACTAGCAGGCTTCGTTTTATTTTCGAGGAGTAGGTTACATATTATACTGGTAATAATGGCTGATGTCCATACAAGGCCAAGCAATCAATATTTTCTCTCTTTTGAGTCGCACGTGTATGATACAAGACGAAAATAATCCGCTTCTAGCTACAAAGTGATAGCGAATAAGGTCAAGATGATGGTAAACTTGTCGCCAATTGATGGAATGGTCCACTTTGTGAAAACCTGTCACATTCCCGAAAATTTCAAGCTAAAG